AACCTTCTCGCCTGCTTGCTATAGCCACCCTGCCATGAGCATTGTTGCTGCAGTCTGAATAATTGGTTGTTTGCTTTTCGGCAGGCCAAGTCGACCACTTAACTTTGTTTTACCCGCAGCTTTTTGACAACCCAGTTCATTTAAATTTGCCCATGGAGAGCTCTCTCAATGCTTCACGCTCAGAAAATAAGAAAATGAAGGGCAAAGTTGTTATTTTTTTTGTCCGAAATTATAGAAGATGTTTGTTTTAAATCATAATCACTGAGCTCTAATTTAAAATTACACGAAAGTAAATAAATCAGCAGCGATGAGAAGCAGGATACAAATGTCCAGTTTATGTCTAACTTCACACAACCAACTATTCAAGTGGCATCAACGCAAGCAGTCAGAGCATCTGTGAGCCACAAGCTTCAAACTATCTGTCCTTTTTAAAGCATACTTTGGTGTGTAAAAATCCCCTTCAGGTGTCATTGAAAGATCGTTTTTTATTTTCATCAAAGGTATTTTTAATCCAACCCTCTCACTGAAGGAGATGGAGGTCACTGAACTCCATCTTTCTGTCAATACTGGACAGAAATTAACCTCTTAAACAATTTGTAATGAACTAACTGACCATTCAGTGCACTCCAGCTGGGGGTTGTGGACACTTTAGTGACAAATGAGTAAATTACATACTGCAAAAGTGAGGATCTATGAAGTAGTAAAGTGTCACATCAAAATAAAGGTCACTTGTTTCTTTGTTGGCCGGTGCAGAACTGAAGACACCAGAAAAACGATTATTTCTACCACCAAACCTCAGAGTCTGTGGTTATTTGCTAACATAAGAGAAGTATCTCACATATCTGCAACTGCACATGTGTTCTGTCATAGGAGTGGACCATGCCGCTGTCGAAATACAGATTTAGGATTTATAGGACCTAAACTGAGCCGGGTTTGAGACGCAACACCATGTTCAAAATTTAAGAGAAGAGGGCAAGAACAACTCTAGCGAAAGTTTGGAAACTCCTTCACAAAATGCTGCTCATCACTTGCAGCAGCAGCTAGCTGTAACACTTCTAGTGCACCCTAGGCACTTCCTGCAAGAATATCATGTTATTTCTGCTGAAATAACTGGGAAATGACACATTGATGGTGGTGTTTAAGTTTATTTACATTTTTCTGAGATTTAAGTTATTTTAAGATGGCAGCAATCCCCGACACAGCTCAGATTAGCCGTTAGCTCGTCATTTCGGTCAGAATTAAAAAAAATTTCCAAAATGAGGTTGTCCGAAGAGCTTTTTAGAACAGGTAAGATGCTAATTGTTCACAACTTTTCCACAGAAACTCACTCCAAAATACCTGAACTATCCTTTTAAATACATACTAGTCACTAGACGTCTACATCAAATGAATCCAGAGTGGAAAACAAATCTCCTGTTTGTGTTTCCTGGTTTTCAATCTGCTGAGCTGTGGTATGACGGTAATAATCCACACCGACTCGCTGCAGACTTTCTGTGGTTTTCCTGCGCCGATCACTAACACAGCATCTATTAGGGTGATGGAGGAGCTGTAGTTTGTCAACATGAACAATGAATCAAAACTAACCCCCTCCACCCCCACCCTCAGGCCCGCTCTGACCATTTACTGATCCTTTAATAATAGGTGAAACATTTTATGAGTCAGAACTGCAGTAAATTTTGAATTCGTCACCAGATCGATGGCCAAGGGTGGCAGCAGCAAACCTCCGTATTTTCTCCCCTCTGAGACAGTTGCGAGCCCACAGCGGAGTGATGTGACAGATGAGTGTGCTGAGAAAGTCTGGCAGAGAGAAGTCCCACTTTCTTGTGTCAACATGGGGAGAACAAGTCCCAGCATCAAAATGAGTTCTGACAGAGAACAAGCAGACTGACAGGGCTGCTCAGCGCTCATTACAGACTCGCTTAATGAGTAATTCATCACTGCTTGGTAGGTGTAAACCAGGGAGGGAATAAAGTCCAAGCATACATGGTCCGGGCCAGGTGGCTCCAGTGACGCTGTGAGCAAAAAGCTCTCCTCAGCTATGACATATTGGCGGTGACACTAAACACAGCTAATTACTACTAATGAGAGGCTTGGACTGATGTTGTCACCAGCTGGGAACACTGCCTCCACCTACATCCATTTCTCTTCTTCTTTTCCTCCATTTTCTCTGCCAAAAAAAGAAGCAACAGCTACATGAAATACCACCGAATCAGTCAGAGTAGCTTTGTAGAGATGCCCGGTTTCCAGCAGAAATAAGAGGAGTGAGGAATTACTCAGGAGAAAGCCTCACGTTGTTTCGAGATAATGGAAATTTGGGTTTGAGAGCATAAATGCTGAGCAAAATCTTGCGACACAGTGACCTTTTTGTGTTTGTTTTTCTGAAAACCTATTAAAATTGTAATTAAAAAGGCAGTCTAGTAAGGCTCCCCCGTGGTGAATGAACAATTACCAGCTTCTGCACAAGTTTGTACGACAGGCAGCCGCCACGGGCGCATTTAAAATGAAAATGTGATGAGATACGGGGAGTTACAACCCTTTTTTTTTTTTTTTTTTTGCTCTTTTGCATTCAGCATCATTATGCCTTGCTGGAATGGAGGAGGAATTGAGCCAAGCAGGGAGGCATCACATCCACAAGCAGCCTGCTATAGTTTTCTCAGCGGGTGTCCTGGTTCTGTCTGATTCAGCAGCCAACGACGGTTTATGTTCACTGTTGATGCATGCACATTCTGCACGAGTTACAGTGGAGAGTGATAGGAAAATGGAAAAACTTTGTTATTGTTTCTTATTTATGGCCTAACATAGAAAGTAATAAAGGCCTAGCATTCCTTAAAGAAATAAATATCACCCACTTCCTTTCATGCTGTAGAAAACATGGAAAAAAAGAAAACGTTATGTGCTTTCACCCATGCAATACTGTGACATTTTAAAATTTGAGTTTGACAAACTTGGTGTGAATGACTCTCAGCTACTACCATACCAAGTTTTAGCACAATGTTCATAAAATTCACTGACCTATAGTAATTTTTGTGTTAACTAAGATCAATTAGCTCTGGTGGCCATCTTGAACTGAGCTCTTTTCAAATGTTAATCAGTTGTAGATGAACAGCCAGCAATTATTTTCTGAGAGTTTCATTGAAATCCATCAATTAGTTTATGAGCTATTTTACTAACAGACAAGGTTGACTCCAACAGTCAATGCCAAGGTTTTAAGCAAATATGTCATTCAATGTGTTGCCCCCAAAGTATGGAAGTTACCATCACTACATTTTAGGTTAATAACTGTAAAATTAGCTGAGCAGCCATTTTTGTTGGCTGGGTCAGACATCTTGAATTGGGTTGCCTCAAAAAGGACAAATAGTTGACAATATACATTCAATACATTGTAAAAGTTATGTTAAAATCTATGCAGTGGTTCATGAGATAAAAAAAACAAAAAACAAAAAAAAGAGCACACCCCAATAAAATATAATAAAATAAAATAAAAACACCCCTCCATTTTGGTTTTCTTGCACATTTCCAGCCAGTGGGATGAACGTGGAGTGAAGAAGCCAGTCTAAACTCTCACAGATGAACCAGAACTGAATGGGCTACGCGTGGAATCCTAAGTGGGTTGTAAGAGACACTGGAAAGGATTCATCGTTTTTCTGCCACATCTGATATTTCAGAACCACCTGGCTCGCGGAGGGTGGAGGCGTGCATCTAAATCCAACGATTACACAGCAAAGATTACAATGTGACTTGTGCAGTTGCACACTGTAAGCCCCCGTGCGACTGCTGCAGAGGAGATGGTGATTGTGTTTTACACTGATCTGAGGATTTTCAGGGCAGCTGGAGTGAGATGAGGATAAAATGGGGCAGCACAAAAGAGATGGACATCCTGTCAGGGTCAGACACCGCTACAGGGACTCTGCTCTGGAGTTTAATGGTCGGGCAGAGAAAGGTTAAAACGGAGAGAAACTGTCTGAGGTACAAGAGAGCTGAAAACACAGCTGACACTTCTCCAGTTGAATGTTTTCCAGTGGAGCATGCAGTCACAAATATCCAACACAGCCAACTTTGTGCTCTTGATAAATGAAACTTTTGAGATTAAATAAAGGCCAAGCATTCCAGGAATGCATATCATCCGCCGCCTTTTATGCCGCAGAGATATCATCTAAGATGTGCGAGATGATGTTACACTCAGAGTGTGTGTTGTGGATAACTCTCTGCTACTACCACACCAAATTTTAGCTCAATATCTGTATAACTGATTGAGTTATAGCTGTGGTGGCCATCTTGCATTGCACTGACTGCAAGAGTCCATCACAAATGTACATCCATGGATTATTATTTTATATTTTATTACAACCTATGCAGTTGCTTATGAGATATTTTGGTCACAAATGGACAAACTTTCTTCAGTCCCATGTCCCCATTGAGGAGATAAATCTTTAAAAATGGTCCATAAAGCAAATAAAGCTTTACAGCTTCTTTAACAAACTGAACAATACTAATCAGTTCTGCCCTATTTTCCAGTCATGACTGTTCAAAGCATCATTCATGTGATACATGAGTGAGACTTTAACGTTTAACTGGGTTGGTTTAGAGATTTCAAAGGACTTCCAGACATTCTGATGATAAACTAAGAAAACATCACAACCATGGCCTTTAAAACAGAACTGAAAGTGATGATTCAGCGGTGTGACAGTGTCACCGTGATGTGGCCAACACCAACAGAATCAAAAGAGAAAACCAGACCAGACAAATACCCCTGCTCCTCCTCCATTGTTCATGTGTTTTTGTTTGGCTCCTCGATGACATTTAAGACATCTATAAGTTCAATCTTGCTCCTGGAGGGGTAAACATCCCCCTGAACATGTTAGGCACATACATTTGTCACATTCAAACCTACTTATAGATCATACATCCTCACAGATTTATCAACCACAAGCGCAATTTTGGTCTGTTTTAACTTTTCACATATTTTGGCTACAACACATCTGGCTACAAAGCCAACTTACAGTGACACCAGCCCAAGTGGCAGCACCAGTGCAGCTTGAAGCACTTCCCGTGGCTGTGCGTGGCGCAGATGGAGAGTCCATCACAAGGCAGGAAGTCTGGTCTCCCCGCGCAGCTCCTGGCCAAAGCCTGCGCCTCGTCCAACTTCTCACTCTTCGGACACTTATGAGCTCCCGAGGCGGCCATGCCAACATTTCCCGAAGCCCCCCCGCCCAAACCACCACCAAGCCACACAATCTAATCTTTTAAGTCAACTGGGACATAAAACCCGCGCCTTGACGGTCCGCGCAGAGAAAACCCCGCAGCTTTTGGACGGAGGGGGGGTCTGAATCAGAGCCGCTCCGTGAGACGCATCGTGCGCGAGTAGAAGCGACGAGTTATGTCATATTTAAAGCCTCCCGTCATCCGCGCATCTCTCCATCCATGGTCGTGCCTTGGCGTCGGGAGGCTCCTCAGCTGTGCGCGGCTCCGTGACGCGCAGCTGATCTTCAGCACGCGGCGGGAGGAGCCCCGACAAACACAAAGCACTTCAAACGAGGCTTTCATCAGCATCACCTCCACCACACACACGCACGCACACACACTTCAAACATCACGGTCTGAATTTCATCGCCTTTAAGTGATTGCTTTTACAAGTCACAGCTCCTCAGATGGATTCTACTTTAATGTTTTACACCTCTTAAAGCGTATTTCTTGCAGATTTATGCAACTAAAATATAGATTCCCTTAAAAACAAACTGGAAAAACATCTGGAAAAATGCAGCTTCCTGAAGTTAAATCATCCAGCGGTTTGTTGAGAACTCTCCTGCCGCCAGGGGGCAACCCAAACATCTGCTCAGCCCTGAGACTGGACATTTACCCAAGAATGACAAACTGATTTCTGGAAATTGTGTTTGCAGCTGTGCTCCTCCCTCAGCTCCTCTCTGTCACTGTTACAGCTGAGCCAGCAGAAAGCAGCACACCCCCAAAACAGCTCTCAAGCTCCCTTCATTAAATATTTATAACAATAATGAAACTAGTATTTCATGCATGCACAAGTTTTTAGTGTAGATTTTGTGTGAACTTCATGTATGTGTTAGGAGTCAGTCTCAGCTACTACCAGACCAAATATCACCCAAATATATTTAAAACAGACAGTGTACTAACAATATTTGTGTTTACTAAGGTAGATGAGCTGTGGCGGCCATCTTGAACCAGGCTGGCTTTAAAAGTTAATCAGTTGTAGAACTACATCCAGTAGATACTTTCTGAGAGGTTCACTGAAATAAAGCTAGTGGTACAGGGAATATTTTGCTAACAGACAGGGTTACTCCAAGAACGACACCAACAGTTTAAAGATCTCACACGATCAATTAGTGCTCAAAGGATAAATAGGGCATCACTCTCAAGTACTACCACACTGAATGAGTTGAGTAAAATTTGTCTGCTAAGGTTGATTAACTGTGAATAAGGTTAACTCCAAACGTTAATCAGTTTGTAGATGTTCATCCATTACTTTCTATCTTCTGGTACATATTTTGCTAACAGAGGCATTTACATGAATGCCTCCATCAGATCAGGCAATAGCTAACGAAACGGAAGCTGGTGATAATACATACAATAAGTTAATATTACACAAACCACACAGAGTAATTCACAAAAAATTAATACATTTTTATTCAAGAATTTGGTCATAATTCAGAATAGAAGTATAATTATAATAGTGTTACAAAAAAATACATGCAAATGTTGCAATTTTTCCCAAACATTGGGCACAGATCAAAGCCAGTATTTATACATCTAGTTTTACTTCAGTACATTAAACCACCGCAGTATTGGAGCTTGTGTATAAAGCTGTCAATATGAAATATAAGCTTATAAATTAGTTAAGCACACATGATTAATTTGAGCTTTTACGTTCATAGTTTATGTTGCTGGTATTTTGATTAATTTGGTTTAATTAAAATATTTTATTGTCGTTTACTTCTGCCGTTTCTAAAGGCTACAAGAATAATTACACCTGTAAGGTTGGACGATCAGTCAGCTCATTTCTTTGCAAGCGGGCGTTTATTCTGACAAACCTACAACAATTCACTTTTGTCAAGCTTGACGTTTGTGTAAAACAGTCTGTGCCCATCATGCGCAGGTGTTTTCTCATAAAACAGTAGTAAAATCAAATCGGCTTCAAACTTTACGTGCACAAACAGTTGTCAAATTAAAACATCGAGTTGATTCTAGAAGCGGTTGTTGTGAAACCTTTCTGTGATGCACAAGGTCTTTTTCCTCTTCATAGATTGGCTCATCGACTGAAAAACATCACGGGAGGTCCGTTCTTTCCTGCCGCCGTCCACTTAAAACAGTTTTTCCTCTTTCTGCTGAGGCTGCAGCCGTAAATTTTTACAAGCTCAACAATTTACTCCAATTACTGTCAGCTCACATTCAAATTACTGGCTCAACACGTCTAAATACTCTGCTGTGAAAACACTGAGCCAATTAAATTCTTTTTAATTTGCCTTTGCCCATTTTATATGCTCTTAATGTGTTGTTGCCATCAGCACTGCTGCATGCAGAAACGTTTTGTTAGCATTTCTTTTTACACACTACAGCCATCATCCACAGCCACTATGTAAACGAATGACTCAGCGTTTTTGGATAGGAAGCATTTGGTTGACATGTGTAGGCAATATTAAAGCGGTTTAAAGCTGGCTATGAGGTTTCTTGATGACCTCCCTCCATTTTTGGATAGGTGGGCTGCCGCTGGCCACAAGCTTTCTGAGCAGACAGCAGGGCTGCAGGTTGGGCACATCAGGGTGCACCTGGTGGTAGTGCTCCAGCCTCTCCAAGACCTTGTTCAGACCCACCATCCCAGCGTAGAACATGGGGCCTCCGTGGTGTCGGGGCCAGCCATAACCAAGCACGTAGATGACATCAATGTCTTCTGGTCCTGCAGCTATTCCGTCCTCAAGAATGCGGAAGCCCTCGTTTATCAGAGCGTACAGGCAGCGATCCAGAACCTCTTGGTGATCTATGCGGCGTGCCACCAAGCCATGTTGGCCTCTGTACTCCTCCAGAAAGCGGTGCAGCCAAGGATCAGGCACAGCTACTCGACCACCTGGTTTCTCATATTGGTACCATCCTCTACCTGTTTTCTGACCAAACCTTTGCTGCTCACAGAGCAGGTCTCCCAGCGGGCTATACCTGCGGCCTTCACGGACTCTAGCGGATGGTCCTGTTAAAGCTTCTATAGCAACCAGCCCACTTGCCTTCCTGACTTTCCAGCCCACGTCGAGCCCAGAGAGGTCTGACATTCTGAACACACCCATGGCAAACCCAAACTCCTCCAGTGCTTCATCTACCAGCTCAGGTGTTGCTCCCTCCTCCAACAGGAAGAAGGCTTGCTCCAGATAGGACTTCAGCATGCGGTTCCCCACAAAGCCGCTGCAGTTTCCGACGGCCACGCTGACTTTGTCCATTTTCTTTCCAATCTCCATGGCAGTGGCCACAGCTTGAGGGGAGGACTTTCGTCCGTACACCACCTCCAGCAGCTTCATCACATGAGCTGGTGCAAAAAAGTGCATTCCAACCACCAGCTCTGGGTTCTGGGTTTGGGCGGCCAGCTCGTCGATGTCTAATCCAGAGGTGTTTGTGCAGAGGAACGTGCCTGGTTTGCAAATGGCCGACAGCTGCTGGAAGATGGTCTTCTTCAGAGCCATGTCCTCGAACACAGCTTCGATGACCAGGTCGACATCTGTCACAGGCTGGATCTTATGGCTGTAAATGATTTTATTGAGCGATAGGGGGACCCCGCGTCTCTTAGCTCCTCGCTCCAACATGCCCGACACCGCCTGCTTTGCCTCAGTCAGCTGCTTCTCGTTGGTCTCCACTGCAACCACGGAAAACCCTGCCTGCGCAAGGGCCACAGTTATACCTCGTCCCATGGTGCCAAGCCCTGAGAAGATAAAACTTAAACACTGAGTACCACAGAAGTCCTATAAGATACCATTTACACTTTGATGATTTTAGTCAGGCAGCAAAGCTTGCTGCACTTGATGCATAAGAAGCAGAGCTTTACAAACTGTCACACATCAAATCCTCCCCGCAGGGAAGAGAGAGTTCATCCATTAAACTCTGATGAACTGTAAATGAGGGCATAGTTTCTATAGGCAACATGAAATTTGAAGATGCCACACAGCTCACTTGATGAGTCAGTGTGCTTATGTTAATTGAAAGCTCAGAACAAATTAAAAGCCCAAAGCTCTTACCAACGACAGCTGCTCTGTGTATGGGTCTGGGCTTGCTCGTGTCCCAGCGGGCACCGCTGGGCGTACTCCACCTGCCGACAACTCTCTGAGCAAAGAAACAGTACTGCAGAGCACGAGCCTGGCCTGAAGTGAGGAGCACGTTTATCAGTTCTCTCTCCTTCTCCATACCCTGGGTGTAGGGCAGCGTGGCAGCTGCACGAAGCGCCTGGACGCATGCAACAGGTGCGATGGCTCCGCGGGCACGCTGCCGCACCCGCTGCATCGCTGTTTCAAAGACGGCGTCGACATCAGGAGGGCACGGGCACGGATAGGTGCTTATTCGACGTGAATCCAGTGATTTACCTGAAAAAGAAACATTGAAGAACTTCAAACAAATGACTGGCAGTGCCAAGTTGAAAATACAGTAGTCAGTAAAAGCAAATCAAAATGTAATCTTCCATCATATGCATCTGAAAAATTCACATTTTTAACTTGAAAGTGCCTCATATTTTAATTTCCTCCACACTCTTGAAATTTTTTAAACAGCACTCAGCCACTCTGCCTATAATTCCTTTTTCAGGCACACTCAACCACTCAATCCTTACATAGTCCAGTAGTTTCTGAGAGCAGACAGATCTGAGAAACCGTTTCCAGATATACGCAGCGACTCAGCCTCTGAGCTGTCACCCTTCACCTTGAATACTGCTGCTCGGAGCAAAAGTGAAAAGCTAAGATTTGCTTCCAGGTAAATTTTCTGGTAAATTAACAATTCTTAGAGCAAAGCAGCAATAGGGAGAAATGATGGTGATTCTTGTGCGTTAACGCATAAGTTCCCGTCCTACAATAAATCTTTTATTTGGGAATTAATACGAGTAGATTTAAGTTCGATTTAAAACATCCAACACATGCCTGTACCTCCAAGCTCTGCCTCATATTAAAAATCTTATTCTTATTCAATACTTTAACAGAACACCTTAATCTAAGACTGCAGGTTTATTAGTGGTTCCTAGAGTTTCTAAAAGTAGAATGGGAGCTACCTTGGTCCTTACAGTAGTCATGCCGCTTTAGGCTCAGCGTTTCCTCACTCTGCCGCAGTTTTTACTCTCTTTACTCTCCATGCTTTTATTTGCAATAATATCTGTCATTAGCGTGCATTTTCTTTGTTTTTCTTCTCATAGAAAGTAATCTAGGCCCAACACTTCTGTGTTTGTGACTCTTTCCTGTCTTCTCAAACCACAGCCGGCTAAGGCAGATGGCTGCCCATCCTGAGCCTGGTTCTGGTTCTGCTGGAGATTTTGTCTGTTAAAAAGGAGTCGATCCTTTCCGCTGCTCAGGATGGGGAATTGAGAGGAAGTGAAGACACAATCTACTGACAATTCATAATGTTCTGTATGTGAATGCGTTATATTAAATCGCATATGGATCTGAATGAAACGTTATGATTTGTGCATTTTTATTTCTCCTGTTATGAGTTGGTGCTGGAGTTGAACAGAAATGAGGACTTCCTGCCTCCTGTTCAGATTTTACATCAGGAAACAATGAGAGCGACAGAGATGGCCACTCTGTTTGAACCTTGTTAAAAGCATCTTAATTCCCAATCCTGCCTTCTCTGATGTGATTACACGAGACAGTCGTCAGAAACCTCCACAGCTCCACTGATTTATACTCAGCTGTGGGTCTGAGTCAGAAACTGGGTCACCATGGTGAAGCGTAAAGCGCCAGCAGCTATCCCCGTTTAATATCATTCACGTTTCCCTATAATAAAAACAACAATTTCTCTAATATCATCAGTGACGAATAAATATTGAAGATTGAATTCAACAGTTGAGCGACAGCGAGGTGTGATGTGGCAGTGAGATGTGATCCCGGTGTGATTTAGGAGGCATTACTGCTGCAGTTAATCTGTAAATGGTTGAGCTGTGGATTTGCAGCGAACCGGAATCCTGGCTGCTCTGACAGATGTAGAGGGCAGATGTTGCAACCGTTGGGGTAAAAAAAAAAGAAAAAAAAGAAAAGTTAATCTCGTCACGAATGAGCCTTGAATCTGTTCGCTCGTGGTGGTCATCAAACGCCACATGAACATCAAATTCAACTCACAAACTGCTTCTCATATAAACACATGGTGTTTGTAATGTGGCATGGCATCTTAATGTGGCCGATCTGATTTATTGTTGCAAAAGCTGCACTTATACTGTTTTTTTTACATTTAAATGCAAGTTTCCTGTCCTGATCTTATACTCCATGCTTGCATATCCATCAAAAGTCAACTATGCATCCCCATTTTGCCATTAAAACCTGAGTTTTAATCCTAATATCACACCAAATTATCTTGAAAGCATAGTGTGATAAAACAATTATCCATTATCTTTTTATTGCAGAATGCTTCTATGTGCATTTTTTCATATCTAAATAGACATTTTTTAAAGAAAGTGTTTGTTTTTTGCTGTAGGCGCATTATTAAGCACAAACAGGCTTCCTGCTAATTTGAATACTTCATAAATAAGTTGCCAACCTTCAAAGATCCATCAACATACAGCGGAAGATGACATATCAGAAGTAAAAAAAGGGAAATTGATGTCATAAAAAAATCATATTTGTTTCAGGCAGATGAATCAAAAGCTCTTCTAGCACCAGGAAGCAAAATACACATTTCCCTTGTGTATGCTAAGACACAAAAACCACACAGCAGAGTGGGCGTTAAGGGTTTAGTTCACTGTAAAAGAATAGAGACAAGCTCAAGTAAAAGGAATAGAAGAATTCACTAACTGTGCTTCTTTTTGTTTCCTGCTAAATGTGTGATAAGTGCTCTCATTTCTGTTTGTTAAACATAGACACAAAAACAGAAGCCAAGTGTCAGCCTAGTGCCCTACATTTAAAAACTAAAAATCTGTTTTTCTTTTGTAACAACACAAGAAATCTAAACAGAGCGGCTCATATCTTCTGATATGCGGTTCTATGGAAAGGTTATGAACAGTTCATATCTTATCTGCTGTAGATAGATCTTTGAATTACCTGAAGTTGGAGATATACAGTTCAGTTGTGACTAGATTGACAAGCTAATGACAAATTTGAGCTAGGCCAAGACCGAAGTGAATTGCTGTGTGAAAACAATGCTGATATTAACTTCACAGTTCTTCACATTAATGTTTTTTGATTAACCTAAAAAAATATATATATATAGGGTTTATTACCGGTAATTACTTCCTTTGGTGACATCAGTCACATGATTAGTATGGAGAAGAGGGCAGAAGTCTTCCTCCTGGCTAGCCAAACAAGAGCTGTTTTTAATTGTTTTTCAGGCTTATAAGACAACTCTTTCTCAAAAATGTCAAACTGGTGTGAAAACAGGCTATAACAGAAATTATTAAACCTTTACACTTAACACCAGTGCACTGGAAGTTGAGTTACCCTTTGGACTGACTAGACGCGCCGATACAGTGGACTGATATGTACAGAAGCTTCAGGGAGCCAACATTGACAAAGTACAGTAACATGGATGTTGTTTGGTTGAAAATAAATTAAACAAATGTGTCATACAAATGTGTAAAGTTTAAATATCACCTAATGTAGCCTCCTTTCTTACAAGAATGTCATTTTTGAAAAATAACTGCTTTATAGTCTGAAATATTATATAAAATGGGCTCTTGTTTGGTTAGCTATTAGTCTAGCCTGAAGAAAAAAAAATCTGTGTTCTGTCAGTTATGTTATCACTGATAAGATACTATTAATAACTATTTGATAGAACATCAATTTAAAATGGTCATAATATCATGTTAAGCTTTATTTCTTCAAATTGAAATTGTTTAAAGAGAGTCGTCTTCCATCCATTCATTATCTTCCACTTGTTCCAAAGTTGGGTCGCAGGGGCAGCGGCTTGAGCAGGGAGGTCCCGACATCTCTTTCCACAGCCACCTCTTCCAGCTCTTCTGGGAGGACTGCAAGGTGGTCCCAGGCCAACCAAGAGACTTAGCCTCTCCAGCGTGTCCTGGGTCTTTCCGGGGTCTCCTCCCAGTTGGACATACCCGAAGCACCTCCCTAGAGAGACGCCCAGGGAGCATCCTTACCAGATGCCCAAACCACCTCAATTGGAGCTTCTCCATGTGGAGGAGCAGTGTTTCTACTCCGAGTCTTTCCCGTATAACTGAACTTCTCACCCTATCTCTAAGGGAAAGTCCAGCAACCCTTCGGAGGAAACTCATTTCAGCTGCCTGTATCTACGATCTCATTCTTTCAGTCACTACCCAGAGCTTATGACCATAGGTGAGGGTAGGAACGTAGACTGACGGGTAAACAGAGAGCTTTGCCTTACAGCTCAGCTCCCTCTTTACCACAATGGACCAGTACAGAGTCTGCAATACTGCAGAAGACGCACCAATCCATCTGTCAATCTCAAGCTCCATTCTTCCCTCATTCATGAACAAAACCCCAAAATACTTGAACACCTCCACTTGAGGCAGAACCTCACCCTCGACCAGAAGAGAGCAATCCATCTTTTCCGACTGAGGACCATGGCCTCATATTGGGAGATGCTGATTCTCATCCCAGCTGCTTCACACTTGGCTGTAAACTGCTCCAGTGAGAGATGAAAATAACGGTACGATGACGCCAACAGGACCACATCATCTGCATATATCAGAGAAGGAATCCTGAGGCTACCGAACCAGAAACCCTCCACCCCCTGGCTGCACCAAGAAATTCTGTCCATAAAAGTTATGAACAGAATCGGTAACAACGGGCAGTCCTGGTGGAGTCCAACTCCCACCATGAAGGGGTCTGACTTACTGACAGCAATGTGAACCAAGCTCTCACACTGCTTGTATAGGGACTGAACAGCCCATAGCAACGGTTCCCCAATCTCGTACTCATGGAGCACCACCCCACTGTACCCCGAGGAACATGGTCGAATGCCTTCGCCAAGTCTACAAAACACATGCAGACTGGATGGGCAAACCCCCATGGCTCCTCGAGGACTCTAGTGAGGGTAAAGAGCTGGTCCATTGTTCCAAGGCCAGGACTGAACCCGCATTGCTCCTGGATCTGAGATTCGACCAATGACTGGACTCGCTTCTCCAGTACCCCTGAATTGACCTTACCAGGGAGTATGAGTAGAGTGATGCCCCTATAATTGGAGCACACCCTCTGGTCCTTCTTTTTGAAGAGGGGAACCACCACCCCAGTCTGCCAATCCAGTGGCACTGCCCCCAATGTCCATGTGATGTTGCAAAGGCATGTCAAGCAAGACAGCCCCACAACATCCAGAGCCTTTAGGAAATCAGGGCAAATCTTGTCCAGAGCCCTGCTGCTGCGTAGCTTTTTAACTATTTTGGTAACCTCAGCCACGGTTATGGACAGATCAACCCCAAAGTCCCCTGGCACAGCTTCCTCCATGGAAGACGTGCTGGTGAGATTGAGAAGGTACAAGAAGTATTCCTTCCACCTCCTGACATCATCACTGGTTGAGATCAACAGCACCCCACCTTCACTGAACACAATGCTACTAAAGTGCTGCTTTCCCCTCCTCAGCCGCCTGATGGTTTGCCAGAATTTCCATAAAGCCAATTGAGAGTCTCTATCCAAGGCCTCACCAAACTCCCCACACATTTGAGCTTTTGTCTCAGCAACAGCCAAGGCTGTGGACTGCTTGGCCCTCCGGTACTCCTCAGCTGCCTCAATAGGACTCATCTTCAGCTTGACAGCCTCTCTAACCCGTGGAGTCCACCAACGAGTTTGAGGATGGCAACCGCGAGAAGCACCAACCTAAAGAGTTATCTACAACACATAAAATTTTGTTTGTTCACAACGCCTCCTCAAAGCCTCCAATTTATCACTTTATACATTTTGTTTTTCATTTGAGCTGAGCCCACTGGTGTTCTCGCTCAGTTTTACAGTTACATAAATCTGAATGAACTTCTTTGCAAGGAAAGAGAAAGCTTTCCTCCAAAGCTGCAGGGACGAGGCACACTTCAGGAATCCACTTGGTGCGTAAATGAGTCAGACTCACGTGCAGGCGGCAGTCCTCATCCTCCTAAATGACTGCTGAGAGCCCATTATTAATATTCTAAGAAAGTTTGTCTCTTTTCGCCCTTTTGAATAATACAGCAAAAGCAGTGAAGACATCAGAGCACTTCTGACAGAGCCATGAAACATTGATGGATTCTGTGTTGGAGGATCTGTCTGCCGTGTCTTCTGCTTCCCTTGACTTCCAAAGCCTATGTGTCAACACTTCTTGATGTCAGACTTGCCTAAAATAACCGCTCTAGGAGGACTTTCTCCTTCATGCCCGGAGTTGTTGTTTCTTTAAGCTAGAGAAGAGAGTTTCCATCATTCCATACAGAACCCTGTGCTTAGTTTTGCTGCATCTTACCTGCAATACTCAATGCAAACTTGACAGCTGCATCCACAGCGTTGCGTTCAGTGACCTCGTCGACTATCCCAAGCTGCAGAGCCTCGGTAGCGGTCACATGACGACCTGTGGGACAGACCAAAGTCTAGCTGATGAATGACAAAAGTATAATGCACTAATTGTAATTCAAATGCAATTAAAAACTACTGAACAATTATTTCAACACTTTAAAAGACATTTAAATGTTGGGAGTTTCAGTTTTTCTTAACATATGTGTCAAATAATCAGAGCAGGAGAGAATCTCAAGAAGCATCTTTGCAAGAAGGTTAAAACTATGCTGACACCTACTGGTCATCAGATAAATGTGTTTTACCAATGGTTGATGCTGTTCTTTACTGAAAAATTAGAAAATGTGGCATAATCATCTAAAACACATTTACAGCCATATAGCTTTCTGACTGCATTAACAGGCAAGTAACCTGTTCAGGTATGTAATGAACATAACTCGCACAGCAGGGGGAAAGGATGTGAACTTCTTCAGATTAAAGACTCGGAAACTCCTTTTACGGCAACAACGTCCAGATGTTTCCTGTAGCTGTTAAAGGAAAACTTTGTAACATTGCTACTAACAAGACTATACGATTTATAGAAACATTACACAAAATAAAATATTTGTTTGGGTTGTGAACTAAAACCTAAGATGGGTTGAAGTAGAACATTTTCAGCATTTTGCTGGAAATTACCTATGAGGTTTTGCATCAACGAATCCCTCTTCAGGGCAGGAACTGCTGTTCTGACATTTTTCTGTAAAAATCTGTTTTGAAATATAATTTTTACTTCACAGTCACCTCGATGAGTGAATACAGGCCCAAATGGAGCCTGACTCAGTGGATGTTTTATATTGGAACTGTCACTTTCATTATGCATTTAGTTTATTTTGCTCTGTCACTTAAAATTTTAAAAATTCAAACAAGTAGTTATTCACAGTATTTTTTTTAATACAACATGCTGCTCTTTTTGAATGATGATGTTCCCATTTAAAGTAAAATCATATGATGCCAACATTCTTTGTTTAAATGTTTTGAGAGATTTTTCTGGATGCTCACCCACAAGCAGCAACAAAATGAAAGTTTAATAAGTAAAAGTTTAACAACACAGACACATTTTCTTTCAACGTACAAATGAACACAGTAGCATTTTTCAGCTTCAATCATTTCCACAGTGCTTTCTCTAAACTCTTTAACGTATTATTGTCTTTAATGCACCAGTTTAAAAAAAATCAGACCGAGAAGTGTCAAATTATTTTGTAAGACTATCTATAAGGGAAACTCTACACTCACAATGAAGGCCAAAGAGGAGATACATGGATGCCGTTAGAGAAGGAGGTAGATATGAGGACAGAGGATGCAGAGGACAGAGATGGACTCACTGTGGAAACTCCTGAAGAGGGGAAATCCAAAAGAAGAAGATCTGACTCTACTCATGTTATAGGAAACTGTTTGCACATTATAGGATTATTTGGGCTTTTATTGACATGAAGATGGACCATAAGAATCGACTGATCAATGTTAAAATTTGGTTAATTCCAAATTTCTCTAAAAAAGCGGCACATGGCTTATTTTCTAACCTGTGGTGATGAGCTCTAAAGCAGCTGGGATACCGATGAGCCTCGGCAGACGCTGGGATCCCCCTGCACCAGGTAGCAAACCCAGAGTCACCTCCGGAAGTCCAAGTTTGGCCTGAAAACACCAAAATGGCACAAAATAGAACAGTGACTATATTTAGAACAACAGACAGCAATGTTCAGATATTAATCTGAATAAAACCTCCACCTGAAAAAGCCACTGCCATGCAAAAAGCTTTGTCTGTTTCAGTCACAAAGAGAGAAATGTGGATATATCTCTACGGCCTTTTTCTTTGTTTATTTGAACTTGTTTTTATCGCCTGAGTTTATTAGATCTGACAGCAGCACCCGCAGCCTCAAAGAGTCAGTAGACGAAGACTGAGAGGAAAAGAAGATGTGTTTTTGAGAGAAGGAAGAAACAAAAGTAAAGTTTTGCATTTGGAGAAATTTGAAAACAATTAGAGGTCAATCAACAAAGTGTTTTAATAGCTAATGCTAATTTTTAAAAATCAAAACAATCAATGTCAAACTTATGAAGCCATTTTTTTTTTTTTTTGGCCTTTAAATATAATTAACTAAAATTCACAAATATTGCACTTCACTGAAGGTTCTTAATGGTGTTGTTGAAGCACTGGATGCTAAGGATTATTGTGCTGCACTTTTCTTAGATCTGTCTAAAGCGTTTGACACTGTGGATCATAACATCTTGTGTCATAAACTCTCAGAAATTGGTTTCTCAGAACGGACCATTGGTTGGTTCTCTAACTATCTCTCAGATCGGAGGCAATGTGTTCAACATAATGGTACTTCCTCCAGTTATTTAACAGTCAACAATGGTGTACCACAAGGCTCAGTCTTAGGACACACCCTCTTTACAATCTACATACATAACGTAGATAAAAACATCCCTAATGCATCCATACATTTCTATGCTGATGACACAGTTGTTTATTGTCGAGCTAAAACAGTTGATAAGGCTTTCCAGCTTTTGCAATCTGCATTTAACATCATCCAGTCTGATTTGTTCCGCCTCAAAAACTTGTCCTAAATGCCGACAAAACCAAAGGGATGCTTTTTTCAAACAGGAAGTCGGTCCCAGCAGTTCTTCCTCTGATTTTATCCTCAAATGATGTCCCCATTGAGTTTGTTGATTCCTATAAATATTTGGGTATCTTGGTCGACTCGCATCTTTCTTTTAAGCTCCATGTGGAAATCCTAGTAAAGAAAATGAAAGTTAAACTGGGTTTCTTTTTCAGAAACAGATCCAGTCTAACTCTGAATGCTAGGAAACGCCTTGTATCTGTGACTTTCCTTCCCTTCATTGATTACGGTGACATTATTTACATGAACGCTCCCACAAGAACCCTGCAGATGTTGGATGCTGTCTATCATGGTGCACTAAGATTCATAACTGGCTGTGATTATCGTACCCACCACTGCACCCTGTATTCACTGGTTAACTGGACATCATTAACTTCACGCAGACTCTCTCACTGGTATATTTTCCATCTTTAAATCACTTCTTGGTCAGTTGCCTTCATACATCTCCTCCTACATGTCTCTGCGTGAGTGCAGCTACAGCGGACGCTCTCAGGACATTATTACCTGCAGTGTTCCCTCAGTGAGAACTGAACTAGGCAAAAGGGCCTTCTCCTACTCCGCTCCCGTTTCCTGGAATATCTTACAAAAAGACCTGAAGCTCTCGACCTTGTCCTCTCTAAGTGGCTTTAAAAATCTGTTGGACTCCTGGCAAGGACCAATGCAGACATGTTCCTGTTTTTAGTTTTCTACATTCGCCTTATAATCTAGCTGTTTTGTTACTTTTTGCCATCTTATTTGTTTTAAAAAAAAAATCTGTATGCCTTTTATAACTGTCTATTGTTGTCGCTGTTGTCCATTGTTGTCATCATTCTTTGTTGAAATCAGGTCTCTCTTGTAAATGAGTCCTCGAGGCTCAATGGGATTTACCTGTCTAAATAAAGGTTGAATGAATTGCAATAAGCTAGATTTAGGAAAACTATCACTTAGACACTGATGCAGCTCAACACTTTCATCACCAGCACACTAACAGAGCCAGACAGCGTGAACTCACCTTAGAGTGAGCGATACGATAGTGACAACCGAGCGCCAACTCGAGGCCCCCGCCTAACGCGATCCCCTCGATGGCTGCCACCACCGGTTTGGCTGCTGACTCAATTCGATGGATCAGTGGTACCAGATCAGGTCCGCGCACGTTTGATCCAAACTCCTTGATGTCCGCACCTGTTAGGCAAAAACGCACCATCAGAAGGTAAAACTTCAAAGATAGAAATAACTGACTGTAAAATGAACTGTACATAATTTTACTACATATTTTAGTCTTACAATTATCCCACGTTTCACCATAACACAGCAACAAAAGGTATAGTGAGAATATAAAAGGGTCTGAGGCCACAAAGTTGTGTCAGTATTGTGATGTTACAGAGAAATGTTCATACCTCCACAGAACTTTCCATTCTGACCACAGATGACCACAGACGTCACCTCGGGTTCACTGAGAGCTCGCTCCATCGTGTTAAGAATACTCTGCCTCACTGCCGCACTGCAACCATAAAAACACGTTTGTTATACTGCTCTGTGTGCGTTTACATTTTTAGTTAACTTGTACAATACATGAAAAGTCTTGAATCATCCCTCAGTTCTTCACTTTTGCTTTACAAGAAGCCAGACCTTCTTGGTTGCACAGCTGCAGAAAGAAAAGCTTTGCAGAGAGTGGTGAAGGCTGCACAGAAGACTGTTGGTGTCAGTCTCCCCACCATCACAGACATCTACACCTCCAGATACAGGAAGAGGGCCATCTGCATCATGAAGGACCCCACTCATCCAGCACACACACTTTTTGCCCTGCTCCCCTCAGGAAGGAGGTTAAAGAGCATTAAGTGTAGAACCACTAGACTCAGGAACAGCTTCTACCCTGAGGCTGTTAGACTCATGAATATCTAACCAGGATAACCTGTGAAATAGTCACATCATGTTGCTGCTGATCTGTTTCATGTTGCTGCTGATCTAGTTCATGTTGCTGTGTTCATTCGTACTCATCTGCTCACACAGACTCATGTTCATGCTCCTGTTCGACATATTGTTTTTGTACTACTAGTGCTTAGTGTATTTTTAGTTGTTCTTTTTTAGTTCACATCTTGGATCTTATTCCTGTTTTTATTTTACATTTTATACTTTTGTTGGATGTAAGTGGGACCCTGTCTACATAATTTCGTTCCACCACATGAACCAGATGTGGTGCGAATGACAAATAAAGAAACTCTGACTCTTATATAAATCTTTCACTGTGGTCTTGATCGATAGATCTCTTGTCTTCCTGAGAGTCTTTCAAAGTTTTACTTTGGACTTTAGTTGATTTTTCACTATCTTCAGTCCAACACCTGACTGTCTTTCAGAATAATGTGTTTTAATTGAAGTTATTTAACTCTGACCTGTGGATCAATCAGAAATCATCAATAATAAAGTCTTGTGTCAGGTCTTCCCTGGATCTGTTTCTGTCTCTTTAAGTACTCTCTGCTGTGGACAGTATTTTTTATATGTGACACTTCTTCTTTTGTCCTGCACTTGTTCACTTTCCTCTTTTTTTTTTTTTTTTTTTTTTTTAACACACACTGAAAAATAAGTTATAATTAGATACAAGGACTTGACAAAAAATGAGTGAGAAAGCAGCAAAAGATTAAATATTTTTTTTTCCAATACCCCCGGTAAGTCTGAGTACATATTAACACCACTAAAGATTACAAAAGATTATGGCTTCTTAGAACCCAGTCCTTGAAGTAAAGCAAACTGTTTGCAGTCTGTCATTCCAGACGAGTTTTAAACTAAGCTCATCTTAGGTTGAGAAATGACAAATTTGCATTTGTTTCAGTCAAATTTAAAAAAATAACATGCACATGATTTCTTACAATACAAGCTCCGACTAGGTGTTGATGACCAGACGACCTCTCAGAGTGTGTATTGTGAATGACTCTCAGCTACAACCACGTCAAATTTCAGCTCAATATCTTTAAAACTGACTGAGTTGAAGCCAGTTTTATGTTGGATAAGGACAATCAGCTGTGGCAGCCATCTTGAAAAGGCTCGACTCTAAAAGTTAAATCAGTTGTAGATGCACATCAGTGAGTTTCGTAAACATTCTCTCAGCCAAACAGCAAGAAGTAAATAATTGATTATTGTGTTCTGCAGTAGCACACTCAGAGAGATGGTTTAGTCTTCCAGGTGATGGGCAAGATAAGAAATCTCTAACCAGTTTATTGCATATTCAAGACAAAAGGTGAAAGTACAATTCAGTCTCTTAACCTGAATATAAAGTACAACAAATAAAACACTGTCATTAATAAACACACACACTACAAGCAAAAAGTATGCAAATCATCAAAGTAATAATTACTTATTGTGCCACAAACTGACAGTCTTGTAGTAATGTGATGCATGACTATGCTTTTTGAACTTAGCAACATTACATGAAGGCAGGTGAGTTGTCTTAATGTTTGTATTCAACAAATCAAACTTAAATTGTATGACCAGATTCTGTAGGTTTAAACTGTAAAATAATTCTCACACAAATGATGTACAACATTTCTCTCCAACACTGAAACACAAAAGTGCCTAAAGCTCATTTTTACCAGTCCCACAGATGCATAAAAAAACTATATTAAAGAAAAGAAAAAAAAAACTGTTTTAGTTTGTTTTTGGTCATTTGTTTGTTCGTATGTGTTGCATATTAACATAAGCTAAACATTCAAGAAATTGATTTTCAATGCTGCGTTAGTATGGAGTGATTTTATTTCGTTTTAACCAAACAGAACGGCTTCAGTCCTTTAAAAAAAAAAAAAGTTACATTGCATTTTCTATTGGAATAAAGGCTCGGACTTAGTATAACAAATGTTATTGTCTCATGACTCAACTTTTCTTGTGCCTCAGTTTCAGTACAGATTACTTTTTTCTATAATAGTACATTGCTTCAATTCATTTTACCTTCACTGTCATCGCTCTGAAGAACACAAGCAGAACCGTTACGGTCACAAAACCTTAAAGTTTTCCTTAAAAAAAATCCTAAGCAACTTAAAAGTCACATAACTAACCTCATTAAAATCATACCAACAATTAAATATACCATTTAAAATATCCTGAAGAGAATAAATACATTTAAAAAAATCTAAAATGCTATAAAATTTAATTCTTTAATACAAAGAGGATACATGTCTGGGAGCTATACATTTCTGCAGTCAGGTCACCCCTCGAGGGAATAACTATAAGTTATTGGAGTATGACAACTAGGCCCAAACCATGACACTTACTGCAAGATCTCATTTAAACAAACAAACAAACAAAACAAAAAATTGTTTTGGTGTTGCGAGTCCATGAAACACTTGTTCTAGCATCCTTTGAAGTCTCTCAAAACTCTCAGGCAAGTATGAATGGATTATTTTTGTACAGCAGCCCCCTTTGTTTGGTTTTCTCTACACGGGTGAGTCCGATAGCAGTGAACCCGGGATCTTTGGTGACCTTTGAAGCCACCTTGCTCGCTGCATGACCTTTTCTTGGTTGACCACAACAATGAAAAGCCACAACCTTTTATTTTCTTTATCTGTGGTCCAAATTCATCAAACTTGGTCTTTGTCGCCTCATCCATGCTGATAGGCCTGAGATGCTCAGAAATCTCTACTTTACTATTAACCTTTATTTAACAAGGCAAATCCCATTGAGATCACAGATCTCTTTTGCAAGGGAGTCCTGGGCCTGAAGGCAGCCTAACATGTTTTTGATCTTTTTTATTTTATTTTTATCTTCTAAACTTTGCTCTAAAGGCCAGATATTTACAATACCCTGTTCTTTAAATGAAGCAGGGTGCTCTTTCACATGATGTGACTTGAAATGTTTATCCTTAAAGTTTGTTGACTTCAACCAAACACATGCGTGCAATATTGGTTTATCTCCTTCAAAAAATAAATTAACCATTGCCTCCCTTGTAGAAATTAAGAGAAAGTATTACACTTATTTTTGTCACGACTTTTAATTGGATTAAAAAAAAACTTGAATTGCATTGAAAAGGCATATTTAAATAGCAAACAAATAAAAATGGTTATTTACTTTTAGGGTGCAGATGCATCTTCCATATTCACCTCTTACTGAGCAAAGCAAGTCAGTGTAACAAATGTGAAAGTTGTTGCACTATATTTATACTGTCAAGAAAAGTATCAAAAGTAGAAACAGCTTTGTTTACTCTTGGCTCACCTTAGTGCATTAACGGGAGGGTTTTGAAGAGTAATCACGCTTACAGACCCCGAAACTCGAGTATACAAAGCCATGATGTCGAACAACTGCTTCGAGGTCTAGCTGCAACCTTTTCTATGTGCAGATTGGACTTTGAAACTCTCTTTTTAACTGAACCACAATAAAGCGTTTGGGTTGTTTTTATTTATGTCCCTCCAGAGATCCCGTCCTAAAGATGTAATGTTGCACTGCTGCCGCCTGCTGGAGCGGGGCTAAAGTGAATACCAGATTCTTATATTTCTTGTTTATTAATTTAAATTTATTTTGACTACAATATAATTACAGTTAACTAAAGATATATAATGTAATTTATTTAATGTAACGTTACATTAACGCTGCCTGAGTGCGCATAAATATGACGTCACTGCGACGGTTGGCTGTTCAGTGACAACACAACAATAGGTGAATGAAGTTCCCTACCGACGCCAGTGAATATGCGCTCACTCGTAGGTTTAGTTATTGTTGTGACCGTAGCCAGCTTGTATTTGTATTCATTGTCCCTGTACCTCCCCGCTGGACCACGTAGACGTGCTCAGCCCGGTACCAAGACAGAAAATGTGGACGAGTCCGAGCTGCTCGGTGACACTTCAGAGGAGCCCAGCAGGTAACACCGCCGCCGGTGTTGCGCCAAAAAATGTGCCCCTTCAATATGAAGCAAAGCAGCTGGACATTAAATACCTTATTGAAACAAAAATGTGTTTAAAGTGTACGTTGTACCACAACTAGTGAGCTAATTTGCGCTCTGTGCATACTGTCCAACCTTTAATGAAAAACTCCAGAGCTCAGTATATATTACAGTGTCTCCTAGAAACTTTTAAGAGGTTTGTTATAAGCATCTTTATGACTGTTGTTGGCTGTCAGGTTTATTACTGTTTAAATGCGATTAACTAATCTAGTGTCTCATTTTCTGGCTCATCTGGATCGAAGTCACATTAATTACATATATACAGGTACTTATTAAAGTTTAAGTTGGCCTACTTAAAATATTTGATGTGTTCTTCCAGTTACTAAAAAAAAAACTGTACTTTTAATGTTGTTTTCACTCATTTAAATGTCAAAAAAACCCAACTTTTAAAAGCTTGATTTCTTATTTTTACAACGTGAAGACAAGGTCTTTTATATGAAGAGCTGCCTTTTAATAACTTAATTTAGATTATAATTTATTTTACTCTCCACATGATGTCAATCTTTCACCAGAGGAAAATGTTAACTTTGTGTGAGTTTCCTTTTTTAAATGGCAATATATTAATTTTTAAAGATCTGTAAAAAAAAAAAAAAAAATTCTGTCTTTAAAGACCTTTTTTGTGAACAAAATTCAGCCAATATGTCCAACTCAATCATGAATGTTTTCTCAGGTTGAAGTTCCCCTCAGACCTGGAGGAGCTCCGGGAACTGGCTGAGCTCCTGCAGTTTTACAAAACGGAGCACACTGGATACGTCCTGCTGCTGTTCTGCAGCGCATATCTCTACAAGCAGTCCTTTGCCATCCCTGGATCATCACTGCTGGTGAGAAGAAAGCAATAAAAATGTCATTAAACATATAAGGCAAGAAGAAAAAAAACCCACTTTAATGGTAGTTGGTGGCTTTTTAAAGATTGGCTGCAGCAGAAAAATATTTAGATAAGAACAGGATGTTCATTATGTTTCCACTCTTGCTGGATTGTAGATTTCTCACTGATTTGCAAAATGTTTAGAGGGTTTTTTTGCAGCTGAGAAAAAGTAATCAACACATCCAGCACCTTACACTTCAAACTGCTGTCAGATCTCTAATTGTGTCTCGTGCTGCACTCTAAGTGAGAACGTGTAGTAACGACAGGTTCTCTGATTGTCTTTGTGCAGAACATTCTGGCAGGAGCTATCTTTGGACCATATGAAGGGCTGCTGCTGGCCTGTGTGCTGACGACGTCGGGCTCCACCATGTGTTACCTCCTGTCTCAAGCTTTTGGGAAGCAGTACATTGTGAATCTTTTCCCTGAGAAAGTCTCCATGCTGCAGAGAAAGGTACAACCGTGCGTCTGAGTAACCAGACAATAAAACCAGTAAAACAGTGTTGCAGCAAATCTGTCTTCATTCTGCTGTTTCCCCAAGACTTTTACCTTTATAGAATTATTTTCCATTAAAGTATCAGTTTCTTTTTTGTTATAGATTTGTGTGATGGCAACATGTTCACCTGATCATACAAACATCTTGCTCAATGTTTTTTTTAACCAAATAGACTGCAGCAATGCCACTAGTTATAACCAGTTTTTTTTTCAAGCTCCATATCATCAGAAAGTTGTGATTGCACTTTGGATATTGCAACAGATTAAAAATTTTTCAAACAAAAAATAAATACATTCCTGAAAATACCATGATCTACTCAATGTGTTAAATATTAGACAAAGAAAAAAAATAACTTATTTTCACTATGAAGGTGTCAGTGATGACTGTTTGGCCAGTCTACATGTCAAAGTATCACTGGGCAAAAACTGAATGAGACATTGCCTTTATTGGTCCTTAACTAAGTTTTAACTGTAAATTGAAGTACTTTCTAATTAAATCAGGAGGAAATATGTTTAGAGTTCTGGGAGTAAATAGTTTAGGATTGGGCTGGAGATTTATTTAATTGGTTTTTGCTAATAAGTCTCATTTCATTTGTACCCTCTCCTTTCTAATTAAAGGCACCCTTCTATTCATATAACACTTTGAGTGGTTTTACTTCTTTCTTTTTTAGCAGTATAATTTGTTACCTTGTCAAAAGCGGTGCACTACGAACGTAAAAAATTGAAACAACACTAAAGTTATCAAATGTCTTTCTCTGTTTTATATTCAATTCTGTAGTTTTCATTTTAGGTACCGTATGTTGACTAAAGCTATAGTAATTAGGCATTTAAAAAAATTAATTTCAATATTTTAAAACTAATCTGTTTTTATAATCTTGATGGTGTGATCCATTATTTGTTTTCCCTGTTACATCTGTGCCATTTGATGTCTGTCCTGTTCCAGGTGGAGGAGAACCGGGACTGTTTGTTCTTCTTCCTGCTCTTCCTGAGGTTCTTTCCCATGACTCCCAACTGGTTTCTGAACATGTCAGCCCCGATCGTCAACATCCCCATCACGTTCTTCTTCTGCTCGGTCTTCATCGGTAGGAGCTTACAGATCACCTGATGGTTGAAATGACCTCGTTGAGCACGGTGTCCTCAATACGTCAGCAGTCTGAATTAAACTGCTCCGTATTTTGTTGATTTGCTGAAAATGCACTTAGCTTTTTTGAATAAACAAATCACAGCTGAAAAGGTCACTGCATTCATTAAATTAATGGTTTAAAAGCAGTCACAACTGCAGAATCCCTTCATATTTTCTAATGAAAATATATTAATTGTATTAAAATGTATGAATTCAGTGAAAACAAGTCCTTCCACTTACAATGTATGTTTTAAGGTTGTTTTTTTTTAAGTCTTTGTTTGCTTTTAACTTGCAAACTGAAAATCCACGTCAGACAACCATGATTTTAGTTTTAGAAAATCACAAACATGTACAGAAGCACTTCATGGTCAGTTGTTTTGAAGGATCTGGATTTGTAGATGTTGATGCATTTTTGCGCCTTCGTCCTCAGGCCTCCTGCCGTACAACTTCATCTGTGTGCAGACGGGCGTCATGCTGTCCGAAGTGTCCTCGCTGGACGACCTGTTCTCCTGGGAGCGGCTCCTGCAGCTGTTGGCCATCGCCTGCATGGCTCTGCTGCCCAGCGCCCTCATCCGGCGCTTCAGCCAGAGGCGGCTCAAACTGGACGCTCAATCTCAGAATGGACTGGTCACGGATAAGAAGGTGCAGTGACTTTGTGCCGTACGAATGGGTTTGTTTTAGCATTCTGATGCCTTCTGCTCAGAAGAGTAAATGTATTAAAAGTGGTGACTTTTCAGGAAAATTTTTGTTTCCAATTCTGGAACGCTTTTCTCTTCTGGAGCCCCACGGACTTCAACAGGAATCACTCAGAGATGGATTTAAAGTGTTTTCTTTGCCACATCATGCAACAAAAGCACAAAGTTTTCTGTATGTATACAAATGCGTTGCCGTGCAGTTATTGTAAAGATGAGGAAGGGTTTTAAGGAATGTGTTTCATTTAAACCAGCTCGTGCTTAAAGTGCCTGTCGCAGTTTAAATTCTACCTCTGAAACGTTGTTATTAAAAACAAATATCTAGCCATAATTGTAAAGGTTAGAGTGTTCAGGTGAATGTTTTTGAGTTTATATAAATGTTCTTTAGTTTAGTTATCCACATTAAGACAGGTTCCTGGCAGAAAGTGTTTTAGATCACAAAGGTCTACACATTTTTAGGCAGGTGGTTTTAGTGTTATTGCTGATGTTTGGTAGTACGGTAATTGTTTTTTTCTTTGTGTTCGAGTTACATTTGACTGATAAATTTGTTTTTTATAAGGTACATAACATTTTATCAATGTGTAATTTTGAGAATGCAGATTTCGGTGGCCTGTTTATTGCGTCTAAATCTTTTGCTGTGTTTCTTGTAATAGAAGTGTCCAATTCAGAATCTGTGAAGCTTTAATATGGCACAAAATCCCTTTTTACTTTTTTATGATCCATGTATTTCCCAGGTAATTTAATATTTGCTTTTTTTCTGTGGCAATGTCCATTCTTTTTGAATGTACTGTAAATTCACATTTATCTGCACGAGTGCTCAAAGCCAAAATTTAGAGCAGGAACGACATATGAATCAGTACTATACTATCAGTCCATTTTTGTTAAGTCTTTGATTACAATTTGTGAACTTCCTGTTTGTAGTGTTGAGTTTTTGTAAAGTGTCCACTCAGTGACTCTGACGACGTTAGAGGTCTTAATGATGCAGTACCTTTAATAAATAGGTGAAAAATCACTGAAATAAAACACAAGACACGATGTATATATTTCTTCTCATATAATCTTTATTGCTCAGATCCATGTTGCTCAGCAATACAGTTCACTCATCAAAACAGTCTGGCTGCTGCCAGGCGGACCCTGATCCACGTTCTGCGGATTGTGTCCGTCCAGCTCACAGTCACTGATTACCTTCAGGTGTTTGGAGCCTTTTGGCCTGTGGGCAGGACTTTAGGGTTTTAACTTACTGAGGAAACAAAAGGAATCTTCCAAATGGTGAAATGCAGTTTACTATAACAGGATCCAGGTAAGACCACAATTCAGAGATTAGTGCTAGTTGAAGAGTAGCACAAACCTGGACCACCTGCATAAATCTCATGCAATGCTTTGCATTTAACAAGATCAGACAAGGAAAAAAAACTGCAGTGGTTCTGCATATATTTGACCAGATTAAATCCTGTTTTGTGATGCTTTGGATGGATTAGAATCACCTCTGTTTTCTCCCAAAGGCAGAGCAGGTTTATGTCAAATTTTTATTTCCAGGCCTGGTTTAATCTGTCAACTCCTCTAAAAGCCATTTTTATGCTTTGCATTTCCCTCCCATTTCAGTTCCAATACCTATTCGAAGTCCTAGCTAGGATATTTTTCCACCACAGTTGAATAACTAGTATTACTGGTAGTGATCTAGTGAATATAATGAAATCCAATCTACAGCTCCAGACTATGTTGCTTAATCCAAGTAAATGGTGAGAAAACCAGACAAAAGAAAGCCATAGCTATTCAAACACTGTATGATAAGACTAACAGTGTACACGCTCAGTGATGTGTGCCGTTGTGATTTTCTGGTATTGAAAATTAATGTCTAACACCCCACAAAACCCCAAAAAATTAAATACCAATCCTTATGAATAAAAGAAGGCTTCACCTCGAGGTGTTATTCTAGCGACACTGCAGTGAAACTGAACCAGCTTAGAGGGAAACCTGTGCCTAATAAGAGCCAAAAACACAAGATGAGCAGAGGCCTGAGGTGCCCTTGCAGCGCAGGAACGACTTCTCCAGACAAAACGAGCAAGACACTAAAACTACAACTTTCAGTGCTACAACGAGACGCCGCTTTTCCGCGACGTGTGCCCGACCACCGCGGGTGTCGTGCGACCAAAGCGAAGCACTGTACTGCATTCAGGTAAGGTCAGTGTACTTGAATCAAGTCTGGCGAGCTTTCATCATCAGCGTATGAGGTACTGTACCGGCTGTGGGGAGGCTGCTAACAGCCTCAGGCATTGTGTGACTTTGATAGACCTTTCTATGTTTGTTTTCTTTTAAAGAACTGCAAGTTTGTGTTCACTGGGACAAAAATGATCCGCCTCATCTGATGACAAAAGTCTCCATAAAGTACAAAAACCAACTCAACGGATAATAATACACCCCCAACAAGCAACAACAAAGAAAGACAACTTCTACTATTTTGTTGTTTCGATTAACCCCTTTGTATTCTAGTAAGTAAAAAGTCAGCCGTGGATTCAGAGAGGTGATTCTGAAATGTACAGCACATCAAAAAAGAACATCTGCAGACGGATGGGAAACCCGAGTTTCGAGGTCGGTTTGAGGCGAAGCTGTGGCGCTCTAAACCGTCTCTGCCAGCGCAGCGGCAGACTGGAGACAGAAAACGATGCAGTTATGTGTGAGTCTATTGTACATGTTTACAGATATACAGTTTTCTTGTTGCACACAGTGACATTTCAACTACGGTTGTTTTACATTCTGCACAGAAGACTAGGGTTTTCACACCACGCTCGGTGGGGCTGCTGTGTTTTTGCAGCTTTGTGTATTCTTCATCACCCCCCCTCGGTTTTGCTGTTCTGCTGGTAAGATTAGGTTGATATAAAGTTCTATTTCATCTCTCACAAGTGAAGAAATGTGTTTTTTCATGTACAGTTTTAAAAAAACCTGAAATTGAGAGAGAGATAAAAACAACAGGAGGTATAGTTGGTTAGCTTCTGTATCGTTTTTTTGTTTTCTTTCTCTTGATGGTGAAATCAGTACACAACATCCACATTCAGAACCACATCGGGCGGGTATGTACCCCCAAGATCCTGCTTTTTCATTCCTTTTTTAGGGAAACGGACTTGAAAATCCTTTGACGTGTTATCATTTAGAGGTGTCCAGGCAAACAGTCCAACAGAGTGTGGTTTATAAAGTTTCACTTGTCGGCTGGACCTGAAAGAGTGTAGATTACTGCAGATCTTCTCTTCTTTTTCATTAAAAAAAAGAAAATTCAAAACGCTCAAAATGATCAGTTAACAAGGCATACAAAAAGGGGAAATGAAAGATTGGACTGAGGTACCCTGAAGCCTGAGGTAGATCACAATACTGACATGCGCACTGTTCACTTCCTGTCCATTGTTAACGTGGTGGTTCACTTTACTTTTCTCCTACCTTTTCAGGTTTTTTTATATTATTCATAGTCTAGTTTTCAAGAAAATAAACACTTCCCTTCAAAATAATATGGCAGTGTCCCACTGAGGGGGGAAAAAAAGGAAAGGGTTTAAAAATTTTTAAGTATCTTTTCAATAGATCTCATCACAAAATAGGAAAAAAAATAGATTCATAAATATTACTTTACTCTCTCTTTTTTTTAATATATTTACACACACATATGCAAACACACGCACAGACACGCACGCAAAGGAAGCTGTGCGAAATTGGCGAGAACCGTTCGTCTGGAAGATGGAGCTGATGGGTGTTGATGTGAGAGGAGACGAAAATAAGGCAACGAGCTTCCACGGTGTCCACGGTGAGGGACGCCGTGGCCTGCGTGTCCAGCTAGACTCACCGGGGAAACGAATGAAGCCACGATAAGAGAGAAGCGCAAGCGTGAGGATGACAGTCTGCGTCGTGGGCAGCTGGACACGGCAGGGGTGATGCTTTCTAAAAAAAAAAAAAAAGGCTGCATATCGTACATTCACAGCGTCATGCTGATTGTTTTTTTTTTTATTTTTTTTTAGAAAACTCCCTGACAAGAGAAGGTTAAAGCCAAACGTGCTGACGTTTGCAGTTGTCGTGTACATCACAGGTCATACAGTGCCCCACTTCCCACCGCCATGACATTCCTCTTTACCTCCAACCCTCTTCTGGGCCCTCAGCTCACACCGTGTGTCGGCCCTCGCGATGTCCTCATAAGGCCAGGCGTGTGACGGTGCAAATTGAAAACAATCGTTTGCCAAAAAGTGCACCTTTGTTTTGTTTTTTTTTGGTCGTCGATTTTTGCTCTGATTATCGAGAATAATGCCGTTTTGGGAATATCAGAACAAGCGCAGCATCGGAGTGTGAAACCAGTTGTCAATATTAAAACACCTCCGCTGATTTTTTTTTTTTAACCTTTCTGTGGCAGTCTGTTCAATGTCATCAATAAAGCTACAAAAAAGAAAAACATGCAAAGCCAGATGAAAGAGTGATGAGAAGGTGAAGCAGAAAAGGTAAAATGATTAAGAGAGCCATAGAAAAGGGGCGTTTTCTTTTGCGTTGGCACACACACACACAGCTTGTTACAAAAACTCATCCATCAATATATTTTCGGGGGGGGGGGGGGGGGTGTTGTTATTAATTCAGTGCCCTTAACAGCAAAGAAACCAGGGGAACTGCTTCATGAGGCTTTCAAAGCCCCGTCGCCTGAACAAGCTCAGCTGTACTGTCATTTCGATCAAATTAAAAACAACAGTGCAAACTCTCAGTGTGTATCAGTGTCTTTCTCTGCATTAATACTGCTAAGGAAATCTTATCTCACAATCTAAATGATCTCAAAGGAGGAAGTGCCCTTTGTCACTCGCTACATCAGTCAAAACGCCTCGTGTACACTCGTGTTAATTGACTTCTGTTTTTTTGTTCGATCTGTCTGTTAGGCCTACGTTAGTCCAACTAAAGAGATAACATTACGCAAGGCGACGTATGTGTACCTGTTTTTTAACTGATAAGTTGAATTTCCTAATTTTAAATCATTTCCACCTTCCTTTTTGTTTTGTTTTATGTTTATTTTTTTGGTCTTTTTAAATTTTATTCTTTCTGAACGGTTTCTCCTGCTTAGTCTGCTCTTGCAGGGCTGGCAGTGCACACGACGCCCTCAGCCTTTGGCTCTCACTTGTTTTCCCCCCTTCAGCGAAGTTCTTTGGTTTTGATCCCGGTGCTGCTGGTCAGCCCTGTGTGTCCTCCGTGGCCTTGGCCTTAGTCTGGGTAGGTCTCTGTCCATTTGGGAGGGCTACATTCATTGGCTGGTGCCCACTGGAGCCACCTCGCTGGTCACTTGGAGTGATGCGGTGACACGGCGGCGCCCTGCTGGTGCTTCTGTTCCTGCTGCTTGACCTGCTGAATGATCTCCCGGATCTTCCTCTGTGCAGTCTGTTGGAGGGAGCAGGAGGTGAGCAATGTAGAAGGAAGTACAAACATCATAAACTAGAAACATTTCCTTAAAGGAAAAAGAATGGTCATTAAAATACCTTCAAAACTGAAGGTATAACTGAGAACAATCCGAGCCTGTCTTGCCTACCTGACTGGCAAAGAAATGCCCGCTGATTTTAACAAAGACCTCGTCGTTCTCATCGGGGATTTGGTCCCGCGGTACAATGACCTCTGCGCTCGTGAGGTTCTGCAGTTCATTTACCTGAAACACAGACACACAACCTAAAGATTAATATCTCACCTTCAATTTCACCTCCAGCCTCACTTACAGAACACAAACACCTACTGACAGGCAAGTATCATGGTTACCTCACCGAAATGCATTCAACATGGACGACTCCACTGAAAAGTATCTGTTTGATTACGTGAGAACCTTTTTTGCAGCCTTGACCAAGACTGAGTGCAGAGTGTCTGCTCACCGTTTTGCCACCTTTGCCGATGACTCTGCCGGCTGCAGTGGAGGGAACCTTGATGTGCGTCTCCAGTTTGACCTCCTCCTTTCCTGAGAAGAAGTTCTCCTCTTTCAGCTTCCCAAATATCCGGCCTTGTGCCTGGAATACAGAGGAGGGTATGAGGCAAGGAGAGGCTGGAGAAGACGGGGACGCACAGTGATCCATTGCTATTTACTATATACACACAGGTCTCGGGTATGATTTAGACAAGAAAAGTAACATATTTTCTTGTTAATGTTTTTTTTTTTACCTTAAACTGTGCCTCTGGAGTTCCAGTAATGATAACCATCCTCTCAGTAACATCTGGGCTCTCAGCTGGGGCAATCTGAAGTAAACGTGGAGTACAGAGTACATAGTACAGAGATGACTGAAAATACCAGCTTTAAGTTGCATCCCACCAGACTAAACTAACAGGAAGCATCATTTTTTTTTTCATTTTTCATTTAGCCTTTATTTATCCAGGTTAGTCTCATTGAGCCACGAGAACTCATTTTCAAGAGAGACCTGTTTAGGAGCACATGGTGGAGGTTAAGGGCCTTGCTCATGGGCCCAGAGTGGGGCGAATGAGGGTGGGGGCAAGTGTGGGTGTTTCACCTACCCCACCCACAATTTTGATGTTGTCGGGGCCGGGGTGTGAACCGACGATCTTCGGATCACAGGCCCACCTCTCTAACCTCTGCGCCACCACTCCCAACAGGAAGCATCAAGAAACCAATTGTCAAGAAATATACAACCCCAAACCTGCAAAAGTCGGGACGTTGTGTAAAATGTAAATAAATTTTAAAAGCAATGATTTTCAAGTCTCATAAAACCACATTTTATTTCCAATGGAACACACTGAATATATCATGTTTAAACTAAGAAACTGTACTTTTTTCCCATTAAAATGGTAGTTTTAATTTTTATGGCTGCAACACTTTAAAAAAAAGTTGGGACAGTGGCCACAAAAGGCTGTAAAAGACAGCTGTATAAATGAGAAACAGCTGGAATGATTTAGATGAATTAGCACCGAGTCATTTCTAATCATGTTTTAATGCATTTTTATCATTAATTTTTTTTTAAAGAACAAAGTCCATGCGCAATAATCAATAACTGGTTTGTTCCACTTTGGAGTGAGCTATTGGGGGAAGAATCAGTTTTGTGTTGTGTGTTTCCTTGACTGATGAAGCTTTCTGGATGGAAGGTGAAACGTTTCAGCACACAAAAAAAAAAAAAACTGTCCACATGAACTGACTGAAAATTTTTGGATTGTATACCTGGATTATTGAGCATGAACTTTGTTGTTTTCAACCAGTTTGACATGACTGTCGATGAGGAAGAGTGAGCGGGGGGAGAGACACTGGTGGGGGTTTTGGAGGTCTTCCCCCAGAAAATTCTGAATAAACTAGATGTCATTTCCTTTATTCTGGTGTATTTTCACGGGTTGTTAAACATCTACGTTTACCTACATTTGTAAACACTTGATTCAATAACTATTTTAGAAAGCATGGCATAACAAGAAGCTAATATTATGCTAATATTACTACCTGTGAAATACTTATTTATACTAATTCATCCTACTTGCACTGTTATATTCTACCATGTCGTTGTTTATATTTATTTTTTACTTTTTAGTACTTTGTTATGTTTGTACTTTTATTGCATGCTTTAGAATATCTTGGTTTTTTTTAGCGAGTTGAACTGGTTCTTCTCATCTTGAACATTTCATTGCATTGTTGACCTCGTGTTAACCTGCATATGACAAATAAACAAACATAGCATAACTAGAAGCAGCCTGACCAACAGCTCTCCTTGTGTGAATAGAGCATGCTTCGCTTCTTGCACATATTCAACCCCCCCTCCCCCCCAAGCCCCACCCACCCCTCCAGCTCCTGCAGGTAAGGAGCGTTTCACTTCAGGACAAATTGAGACTGCTGATTGGTCAGCTGCCAATGAGCCTATGGATTGATTGACAGGTAGCATTAAGATTCCAACTCGTGCAAAAAAATCATTGATTTTACTGGCCCAATTAATAGTGTCATAATTTATTCCATATTTACTGAACATTTATTCAATATTTTGGTGAATCTAAGGTTTGAGAACTAAGCTTCCTTACAAAATCCTAATGATGGTTTTAAAAATTTTCAGGGGTGCTGAGTTAAAATTTAGGGGTGCTTGAGCACTCCCCAAAAAGAGGCTAAAATCACCACTGAAGAGGACTATGTAAAAAAAAAAAGGATTTTACAGAGGCTGACGTAAAGATGGGCCTAGAGGTCAGCATAAAGCTCAAAAACATGCCTCTCTGATGGTATGGGGGTACATTACCAGCTGCGACTGAAATGGCCAGCTTACACATCTGAAAAGGCATCATAAATGCAAAAAAGTATATACATGTTACAAAAGGTACAAAGTACAATTTCTCAGTTAAAACATTTAATGTTTGCTATGTTTCATTGTGAATAAAATATGGGTTTATGAGATGCGTAAATCAATGCATTCTGTTTACATTTTTTGCAACATCCCTACTTTTTTGGAACTGTGGTTGTAAAATATTGCGCTTTGAATACAAACGTATGGAATTTAATTGACAAATATCAAGCAAGTAAATAGCTTCTAGGTATCTAATCTGAAAAACTCAGCTCCGGGGTCAATTTCTTTTCCCTCTTTTTAATCGTAGAAAGCTCCTCAGCTGCGGTCAGTGAAGTGCCGCTGACTCAGACGGCAAACATTTCCAACAAAACATCTGTATAATAACGGCTGAGAAGCTTTTAAAACTTTACAGCACATTTAACACATATTTGTGAACTCAACCTAGCAGATTAACGTTGTTCCGATCGCCTCTTTCCTCTGTCTTGTTAAGTCTCAAAGCGTTATCGATGTGAGCGAACGCACCTTGATGGAAGCTCCGGCGAAGTGGGCGAGTTGTTTGATGTGCTGACCCTTCTTGCCTATCAGGGCCCCGACTGCCTGAGTTGGAATAAAGAGGTAGACAACCTCCTGTTCTGGAGCCTGTTGCTGAAAGGAAACAAAGAAGAGTCAGAAATGAACAAAAGCTTGAGGAAAAAACTGCAACATTTTGGTAAGCGTCTTTACGTGGTTGTGTCTGAATGGAAACTTTCCTTTTAGGGATGGTCGTGTGCTTTTGTTTTTCTTAGCATGGTAACACTCGTGTATTTGGGGTTTGTAAAGTTAATTTTTACGAGCCACAGGACAACGGTGGACTGTAAAATCCCTTGCCAGACAAATTTATGATGTCCTGATGACGAGGTGACGAGAAGGCTGACCAAAAGCTGTAATCACCTTTTACGTACATTTTTGTCTTCATTTGTCACTAATTCAAAACAGCCCTGCATACTGACTTTATTTCTTTTCTATTTTTACAACAACTTCCAATTACAAAAATTTAAAGCCCAGCATTACTTTAAGAAATGCATATCGCCTGCCGACAGTTTTAACTACCCTCTTATGTTGTAGTTGAGCTACAACCATTTTGGTCAAACCTTGAAAATAACATCATGCTGACTTTCATGCAATACTGTATGACGTGCTCCGAGTGTATATTGTGAATGACTCTCAGCTGTTACCACTTTGAATTTTAGCTCAATATCTTTAACACTGACTAAATTATGCCCACTTTTATGTTGTCTAAGATCAGTTGGCTGGAGGCCATCTTAAATCAAGCGGATTCCAAAAGTTACTCAGTTGTAGATACATCCAACACCACTGTTGGATGATGGTCCATCAGGGCCAGCAGTCTTCTCTGCTGGCCTAAACACAGTCAGAATCACTTAAGGCTCCCACATACTCAGGCGTACGTCACTCCGCAAAGGTCCGCGTGTACCGGATTAGTCTCGAAGTAGACGCACCATGTCTGCGCAAAGATCAATTTTTACGACCGCATACTGGTTGTCACACAATAAACTTCTTGGCGACGGACTATTTTGTATGAGACACCGATGTATTAAATTCCCCTTCTTCATCCCTGGTCTGGTTTAATGGCCTTTTGGTTTTTTTTTGTTTTTTTTTGCCAAGAGGCAAGTGATGTCTTCCTCCTCGTCTGTTGACGTCATGACTGAAACTGTGAGAAATGAAGGAATTTGTCACAAGAGAATTAAAATCAGGTCCAGCGTGGTCTGGATATTTCCTGTTGGGCTGGTCTGATGTGTGGGCTGCAGGGTCAGCACTCCCTGTTTTTTATTTTTTAGAACTTTTTATTAAAACATATAAACACAGAACACTGCTGCCTCTACCCACGGCTGCCGGTAGTTCTCTTTTATTCTTTTTGCGACCTGTCTATTGATAAAGTAGGCGCGTCAGCAAATGTCTAATCGGCGATCTCAATTTGTCCCGAAGGTAAACACCCCTTGCCTGCAGAGCTGGGCTGCAGCCCATCAGGGTGTACGCTCGACTATGAAGTCTCATCCGTCTGCGGACAGTGCGCGCAGTGTCCACGCGGCTCACAGAGTACACACAATACGCCAGAGTATGTGGGAGCCTTTACTTTGAACGTTGCTCTTTGAAGTAAGGAAACTTGTAGAATTGTGTTAACTGGGTTTCTTAATTCAGTAATGGTATTCATTCTCGCATTAGATACCCGTCTGTGATGCAGTGCCCTATTATTCCACGTCTTTATATTAGTGATTATTAGTGACCAAAAACATGCATGTTAGGCTGCCTTCAGTGCCAGGCCTCCCTTGCAAAAGAGATCGGTGATCTCAATGGGATCTGTAATCTCAATGGGATTTGCCTGGTTAAGTAAAGGTTAATAATTATAATAATAATAATAATAATAATAATAGTGATGATTTTTGTAGCTGTGACATCGTTATGACTGTATTAAGAGGTGGATAAATTCAGGCGGGACACCACTGAAGGCCTAGGTTTAAAATCGCCATTGACGTCCAATGATTTGCACGTTTCATGAAAATTCATCCAGTGGATCATGAGATCATTTGCCAACAGACCAAAACACTTAGAAATAATATGAAATTTGTTGATAACGTAGCAACAGAGAACGTACTGAGTGCTGGTGGGACATGGCACTTGCTGAAGGAACCCCGTACAGGCTGCCGAGGTGTGAAGAGTGACCCTAAAAAGTGACAAACAAGCCGATCAGATGTCGCATGAACACACATACAAGGTTAAAAGCGCACACACACACATAACACGACTCTGGCTCCTACTTAGGGGGAATCCAGGGTTAACGTTCACAGTGAATCACAGGAATCATTCTGACTCGGAAGCATACATTCTCACACAATGTCTCACGCCACCGAGCCTCGACCTCATTGGGCAACAAAACTGACTCATCTACGAAGAAGACGGGGGAAATCTGCTCGTTTCAAACTGTGAGCCACATCATGCAGGAAGGTCTGAGTCAACACTGAAGAAGTTTCCACTGGAGGACTTTTATAATTGAAAAGAGGGACTTACTAAGAATGGGTTGTATCCTGCTGGTACCACTGGGGGCACTGTACCACGTGGTCCAGCAGCTGGGGGCAGCACCTGCAGACCAGAGGAGAAGATGCCCAAACCTGGGATCAAGTTGGCCTGTTGCTGTGCAGATAAGAGAGAAAAAGGATGAATGTGATCATCATAAAAGTCACAATAATCAATTAGGATTTAACTCGTTTGATTTTTTTTCTTAAATATTGACAGTAAACAAGGCTTTAGATCTCTTAGAATCCATGTATTCTGCTGTAAGAGTTTCCACAGTTCAAAAATGGTCTATATCTAAAAGGTGTTGAGAAAACGTGAAGAAAAAGTGATTGTAACGTTTTTTGTTTGTTTGTTTTGCATAAAAGGATTGGAAATTTTAAAGTCCATCTTTTGAATTTTGCTCTAAATTATAATAAACTCTGAATGATAACAAGCATAAAGCATGAGAACTAATGAAAATTATTCTTTAAAAATGATTCTTTACACAAATTGTGGGTGTTAAATGTGCCCAGAAAACAAGAGGAATCATCTAAACAAGAGTTTTAATTTCCATTTTATACACTATGAGCATTGTTTGCCTCCCGTTCTAATTCCTAATTAAGTTGTGTTTTATGCGGTTGTTTATGCAGCTGTTGAGGAGAAAAACATTTTGAATAAACTAATTTACATTTTAGGAACTCAAGCATTGTTTCATAATTAGTCAATCAACTTAGGACATTTTTTTATAATTGCATGCAAATTACGTTTTAAGATGAACACGTATAAAAGCAATTTAATTCACTCTTGATTTCCATAAAAAGCAAATACAACCGAGCCAAAATGAAAGAAAGAGGAAAAGTTGATTACGCTCAGATCTAACAGAATACAGTGCAGACACCTATTTTTCTGTTTATTAATTGATGACAAAGTCCCTTCATAAAAATTAACATTTAGTTTTCTTTGAAGGAAACCATTTTACAAACACCCTTTCAATTAAAATCATTTTATTTAGAGAATATTAGGAGTTACAGCCATTTTTGTCAAATCTTGAAAATAGCATCATGTCTTGTGACATTCAATGTCATGTAAACCTCCATGAGCTCACATGATCTATTAGAGCTCAGAGTATGTGTTGAAAATGACTGTCAGCTACTTCCATGCCAAAATTTAGCTCAATATCCATAAAGTCTGCTGAGTTGTAGCCATTTTTGAGTTGGCTAAGGTTGATTAGATGTGGAAGCTATCTTGAATTGGTTTAACTTCAAATGGTAATCACTTGCAGATGGATACCCATTTATTAATTTCTGAGAGTTTCATTGAAATACATATAATGGTTCCTGAGATATTTTGCTAACAGACAAACAGGGCTGACAGCACCAGTTAATGCCACTGTTTTAAACGAAGGTATCTCGTAATAAGTTGTGTTCAAAGGATGTGTGAGGACAATGCTCAACTACTACCACAACAAATTTTAGCTTAATATCTGTAAAATTGTCTCAGTTGTTGCCATTTATGTGTTTTCTACAGACAGCTGACTGTGGCAGACATCTTTAAATAAAGTTTATAACAATATTGAATCGGCTGTAGATAACAACCTAAAGATTAGTTTCTGAAAGTTTCAATAAAACCCATTCAATGTTTCATGAGATATTTTGCTAACAGAACACATGGACTTCGACCAAAACATTACTGCTTTGCCTTCGCCTCCTGAGGCGGCAATAACAAACAAATCAATACATAAATGAAGAAATAACTAAGTAAAAAGCCCAAGTTTTTCGTTATTTATCTTTAAAAAATCTCTGGACTTTTTAAATAAATGAAGGGTCACAAAGATGTTCCTTTAGGGTGCTTTGGACATCCTTGTTTTATAAATTACATTCAGTTGTTGCTATCCCAAAGAAAAATACATTTTGCGCGCAAACTCAAATTACTGACTCAGTCCCGAGAACCCGCACTCTCAGACTTTTCTTCCTGAAAGCTTTGTGTAATATGCTCAGTGTCACGCTAGGTGGCCTCATCGGATCGCCGTGGAGGCGGCGCTCAACCCGACAGGTGCTGAGAACATTCGTGTGAGTCCGAGCGATTTAACCGCATGCTGAGTGATACTTCCTGCTAACTATTTTGGAGCAAATAGTCACAAAGAGGAGGCAACTATTGAAACTAAAATATCAATAAGAAAGCTGATATTCTGTGTCTCTCCAGGGGTTACAGCTGTTCCTCTTGACAAGCATCATCACTATTAATGCAGTCGCTTTATTGCTTTTCTTCGGTGCAACAAGAAGCGAGCATGATGTTCCGCCTGCTCCTCTCAGTCTGAGGTCGACCTCGGTAGCAGCAATGCTGCTGATGTCACGGTGCCGTGTGAAAGAGGAGCCTATAGATATCAGGTGGATGCTGGGAAACGCAGTGTGTTACAACAGGAACACAGACACGCGCAGTGGGGCATTGAGTCATAGGCTCCACATGCACACAAGCCCAGAGACACGCAAACACACCGCTCACTAATGAGCTACTCAGCGATCGTTTACCGTTATCTCTTTACCGTGCAAGTCTCGCTAATACCGGCGGTAACACACACTGAGGGGGAAGGCGATATCGTTGTGCGACGTTCACCTGTCAGTGCCTGTGAGTGGCTTCGCGGTCAAAAGGACACAAACTAGCGATGATGGCGCTTACATTGACAGCAGCGATGTCGTTCTCATACGCTTCCCTCAGCTTCTTCATGATCTCCTCCTCAGCTTTACAGCAAGTCTCCAGGCTTCCCTTCACCGTGATGGTCCTCTCAGGGTTGTAAATGGTTAAATCTTGCAACCTGAAACAAGAGATATCAGCACACAAACACGAGTAAATGGTAAATGGACTGCACTTACTTTACTGGGCAATCTGTGCCCTCATTTACCCATTCATACAGCACTCTACTGTATCTATACACAGAATAATCAGTGCTTTATCACATTCATACACTGACGGGACACACATCGGAGGCAATGAGTGGTTCAGTGTCTTGTCCAGGGACACTTTGGCATGTGACTGCTGGTGGAATCAAACCCCCAACTCTTGCATTGGAGGATGACTGCTCTAACCACTCAGCCACAGCCATAAGACCCAAATAAACACCCGCACAAAGAAAGGTTGACTTTAACAGTTAATGCAAAACATTATCCTGTGCCTTTGCCTCTTAGCAGCAGGCAACAATAAAAACTACCCATCCCATCATGCATCTCTGATAAGATGGTCTCATCTCTTGTCTTCTTCAAATTTAAGTACATTGCATGCAGTTGTATGCTATAAGGGGAATTTAGATAAAGGTTATGGATGTTTACTAGTAACTAATGTGTATGTGTTAGAGTTGCTTTGCCACCCAAGAGAAGCTCAGAGCTCTCTGAAAAGCATGGAGCCTGCACACCTGATAAACTCCTAGGCTAAGTAAGGCAAGTAAGCTGAAAAGCAGAGGCCATCTTGACCTCATCTCTGTCTGATCTTCTTCTTTCGGCTTTTCCCTCTTCAGGGGTCGCCCCAGCAAGTCATCCTTCTCCAGCTCACTCTGTCCACTGCGTCCTCTGTCCTCACTCCATCTACCTCCATGTCCTCTCTAACTGCATCCATATATCTCCTCTTTGTCTTTTTCCTGGCAGCTGCATTTCTAACATCCTTCTACCAATATACCCACTGTCCCTCCTCTGGCCATGTCCAAACTATCTCAGTCTGGCCTCTCTAACTTTATATCCTAGTTGTTCAACCTGTGCTGTACCTCTGATGATCTCATTCCTAATCTTATCCATCCTTGCCACTCCTAAGGAGAAGCTCAGTATCTTAATTTCTGTCTTCTAGTTCTGTCTCCTGTCTTTTTGTCAGTGCCACTGTCTCCAGACCATACAACATTGGTGGTCTCACCACTGCCCTGTAAACATTTCCTTTGACCTTTATGACACCCTTTTGTCACAGATAACTCATGAAACTTTTCTTCATCCATTTTTCTCCATCTGATAAGCATTATAAAAAGGCACTTTTTTGTACTGTCCTGGGCGGACCTCACGACCAGAGCTTCAATGTAACATCTGTAGCCTGTTTTGAATTCTGCCCCCTTTCAAGTAAAACTGGGTTGAAAAGTCTTCTCATGTCCTCAGAATGGCTTATTTGAGTAAATAGATTATTAAAGGATAAATAATTTATCCAACATGTTTGGTCCTTCGAGCCGGATGCTCGAGATATAGAGCTCTGAACTGTCTCTTGGGCAGCAAAGCAACTCTCTAACGCACACGCACGCACACGCACACACACACATACACATTAGTTACTAACAAACATCCATAACCTTTATCTAAATTCCCCTGACAATAAGCACCCAGTCAAAGATTCTAGACCCTTCCCAGAGCCATTTGGACTTGGAGGTTTCCACCAAATGTAGTTTGATAGGCTGAACCTCACACATACATACTTTGTACTCCAGTAGCCATAACTAAGATTACTCTGTTGACAAAATGAGGATTTTTCTCCCCCTCTTTCCAAGCCCCTCTAGAGACACACGGTGCAGATATTTTCTTCCTCGCCCCGCAGGCTGAGTGCTCTGCATGACGAGTGAAACAGCCCCTCTGTGTGAAGTGAGTCTTGAAACAACAAGTGTGCCAAGGTCAGGATGGGAGCAGCAGCACGGTGACACGAGCACGCATGAGAAATGGATTCATCCATCCGAGCAAACAACACTGCAGTGAGACGTTTACAACCTCAAGTCCATAGAAGCTGGGATGTAAAAATGACCTTATTTTCCCTACAAAATGGAAAAGATTCTTAGTTTAAGCACACTTGTTGAGTTTGAGTTTATACAATGTGCAATTGTTGTTGCAGTAAGAGCGAAATATTTCACAAAATAATCATAAAAAAGCATAAAAATAAATATTTGCCCTGAAAAGTTTTGGCACCATTAGCACCTTTTAATCCTGAGGTTGACTGAGAGAATCCAACTCAAAAGTCTAATATAAAAATCACAGAAGTTGCTCTATAAACTACTTCCTCTAACTGTTTAAAAAAAAAAACATGTTTTTTAGCAGTGGATGCAGCAAATTAAAAAAGAAGAGATAGTTTGGAAAGAACTATTTGCTCTTCTCAGAGGAACTTCTTTTTTCTCTGGGCTCATTAGCAATTGATTAGCTCTAAACCAGTGAACGTTTGTGTGCACAGTCTTTTAAATGTGGCATAATCACCTCCCCTCTGATATTGTGTCCTGGAGAGAAGGAGCAGCAATCAGCTCCTCTCTAACAGCTCAGTTAAGAGAAACTTTAGAGATTAATGAGCAGGCAGGAAGGAGGGCGTGGCTGCAGTAAGAGGAAATCACTGAAAGTCTAAACGTTTTGATATGAAATTAATTTTAATACAAGAAGCAGGCGTGTAAACAGAGACTTACGAGGAGATGGTTATCTTGGTCCCTGTATCCTCCTCGATCTTCTTCAGGTTGCGGCCCTCCTTCCCAATCAGGCGTCCCACCAGGCTGTTGTGGGCGAGGATTTTCAGAGGGATGTCCTCCGTCCTTCAGACACAAACAAGCGTAAAGATTGGATAAAATCAGAGAGAACAGTTTCCACTGGTTGTTTCTACCATGATGTGAAAGTTACACGAAGATCAGGAACTTCTTTAATTGCCTGCTGTTTTCTCCACACAGAAACTTTACAGTGACAATCCACGTGTTCAGCAGACAAAATAAAAGCAACAAGCTGCAGCAGCCAAACTGTTAAAGATCTACTAATTTACAGTAAATTAGTTTAGTTAAACGTTCAGACAGTGAGACTTATTTAATTGAATAACTGTTTCTGCAGCCGAGCCAGATTTTTAACACATTTCCACTAAAAAAATTTGTCCTTAAGCTTCAACAATCAGGAGTTTTGAAAAGCATGTAAGCTAAAAAAAAGAAAAGAAACAGTACAGGAAATATATTTGGCTGTTTGTTGGATTTTGATGTTTAGTGGGAAAAAGTGAAAGGCCGACGCCTTTCAGACGAGACCAAAATCAAGCATTTAGTTTGAATTATTCTAAATTACTTCCCGATTCCCTGAGGGTAGGAGCTTGAAGGTACGCTTCCTGGAATTGGAAGGGCTTTTAATTGGATTTGATGTTCATACAATCCCTTATTGACTCCCGTTTACAGGAAACAAGACTCTGTTGTAGATACAACCGCTCAGAATGTGTCGCTGCTCAGAAGGTGAAATAAAAACGTTACTGGAGTTTTTGCATCATTTTGTCTTCGCTCCTTTTTGTTGCAATATCTCATAATATAACGGACGAGAATTTGGTGGAAAAACACGTAAATTAGAGGTTATTTTGGGTAGACTACAACAAAGAATGGCTTTTGAATCAAAAATACTGAATCATAGCTTACATGTCTGCAATGAAGCATCAGCTCTGGTCAATTTTAAAAATATTCTGGAGAAAAACAGAACTCGCACGATGAGTATTTGGGGTAAAATGGAAGATGAGTCAGATTTTCTGTTCTGTTCAATAGAGATAATTTTCCATGGCTTCGAATTAACCTTCAAATATTATGTGCAGTGCTGATGATGATGGGCAAGAAAAAACAGGGACGGCTGCACAGTTTCAACAGCAAATTCTTCATTTTTAGTTAAAAGAAAAATCCTAAAGTCAGTCTAACATAGCTTTTATGAAAAATGGCAGTTTAAAAGATAAAAATCTTTGGTAAGTCTTGTAGTTTTATGCAAAGAGTTTATTTTGTAGATTTAAATGAAATAAGAGCACCTAATCTGACTTCCTGTAGTTAATTTAAACAGACTGTCGTTGAAATAGACCTGAAAGAAAAAGAGTCACTTTAGCGATATTTTCATTTTGTGTGGCAACTACAGGGTGTGAATGAAGATTTAGGCTGTGGTGGAGGGGAACCAGATGCTGGGGGGTTCTTTTGGGTCTGGTTCCAAACGCGTATGGGTGTAGGGCAGACGTGCACGTATAGCTCCATCCTGAAGTGTGTGTGTGTGTGTGTGTGTGTGGGGGGGGGGGGGGGGGGGTCATGACAGCTGTGTAAGTTCAGAGGCCACGGTCGGTGGTTTTGGGTTTTGGCTCAGTGAAATCACAGGGCGGAGAGCGGCGGAGACGGCCGTTTGCATTTCTGCAGGTGTGGCACCCAGGCGAGGCAGAGGGGTGTTATTTTGGTGACACAGCACCGAGGTGTGGAGGTTATTGTGAGCTTTAAGAGAAGGATTACAGCTCTGACTGATTGAGGCAGATTAAACACGCCAAAAGAGTTTTGTGATTTATTTGACAAACACATTTTATTAAAAAAATAAAAATTACACACTTACAGCAGCATCTGACAGAAACGATGGCTGCATTTCATAAAATGGTTCGATTTGTGTAAAACTTTTAAACTTGTTAAATAGGATTTATAAGAAATCTGCATGATTTTGTTCTATTTTATCTCTCGCGGCTTCTGAAAGAGACACCACAGTTAAACTGAAAAGGCTGTGCTACTTTTCTACATTTATACTCCTTTTGTCTCTGGAATAAAATATATTAGGATGTTAAAACATAAAAATGATCACTAACAGTTACCATATTTACAAATCAAAGAGGACAAACCGATTACAGATTTCTGTTTAAAGCACACAGGAGCTCTGAGTTGCAGAAGGTGCAGCGTCTGTTAAAAGTGTCAAACCCAATTAGATTTGCTGTCCTGGTCTTCTAAACGCTAAGCTGTGACCACATGTTGGCCCGTGTGTTAGGTGTGTTAGTGGTCCAAGCTCGAGAAGAGTGCACAGTGAGATTAAATAAAAGAGTGCAGGGAGGTGAAAGGATAAGATTATAGTCCTGCACACATTACGGCTAATCTCCCCGTGTGGATTGTATACGTTCAGGCTTCAGATCAGCTCATTTATCTGCAGGTCTGAGAGTGCTCGTGTGTGTAAAAAGTGCACGCTCACATCTTGGTCTCGTTGGCCTCCTTCCTCATGATGTCCAGGATCATGCGACAGGCAGAGGAGCAGCCCTCGGGGGTTGAGTGGATGGTGATGGGTTTTTCTGCTGCGCCTGCATTTTCCTTCCGGTGGATGTCCACCCTGAAAGATTGAATAAAAATCAAGCTCGTCAAAATGTTCCTTACAAACAAAGAGACTGTAAAGATGCAAAAGGAAGCCTGCAACTAAGAAAACAAGTTTAGAGAAAAAATGTCAAACTCTAGCTGAAAGTAAAAATCAGTAAAATGGTAATTAAAAGTTAAAATGAGACAAAAATGTTACTAAAAGCTAAAATTAACATCACTACAGCTGAAATCTTAAGAGGTAGCTAAAGGCTAAATGTAGCAAATTGAAGCTATCTGTTAAAATTAGCTAAACTGTAGCTAAACTCTAAATGTAGCAAAACGACCTAAAAGCTAAGAATAGCTAAACGGTAGCTAAAAGCTTAAATTAGCAGGACAATAGCTAAAAGCTTAAGAGAGCATAGAAAGAAAAACTAGAGGAAGTGTGATGAGGCAGATTTTAGAGAACAATGTTTTGGAGGGAGATTACCAGTAATACATTTTCATGGGGGAATAATTGTAAATATATTCAAATATTTCAAATAGGATAAAAGTTACAAACACTAAAAGTAAGTAAGTAGCACTAAAATTAAGCAGAACCTTTTAATATATGAATGGTGACAAAAGTAAAAATAAAATTGAAGAATTTGATAGCAAAACAAAACTTCTAGAAGAAACTATAAACTACAAAAACATTAACTGTGCTGATGTTTCACAACTTTAATTTATTAAATAATTGTGTTTTATATTTTATCTTAGTCAAGTGGAGAAAAATAATCTAACCTGGATACACAATGCTAGAACAAAACTAGGGAAAAACATAATGTAAAAATATAATAATAATAAATTAGCAGTTTACTTGGACTGAGTCTGTTTGGTGACATTCTTGATGGTGAGCCCTTCCTTTCCGATGATGGCTCCCACAAACTGAGTAGGCACGAGCATTCGTAGGGGGAAGTCGGGCTGTCTGAGGCGGGGAGAACCAAAACCTCCAGAGGGTCCGGGTTCAGGGGCGCCTTGGTCCCTTGAAGACCGAACCCCGCGCCGTGTTCGGGGAGCCTGGTTGGGTGGAGCAGCGTCCATGTCCATAATATATGACACCTTGAAGGAGTAGTCGTCGAACTGTTGTCCTGTGAGCTTCTCAATGGCTCTGGAGGAAGAGGAGGTGCAAAGAGTGTCATTTAAAATACAAATCAGCTGATATCGAAAATCTGTGGTATACTTGCTTTTAAATACAGTAAGTTTATAACACATATGAAGATTTATTAAAAAAAAAAAAGCTTCTGCATAAGATATGCACACTGTATTTAATGTCAAAATCTCAACATCTCAGTATGTCAGTTAAAATAACATATTTTAATAAAACAAACAATTTTTATCACATTAACATGCCTGCTGCTAAACAAAATGAAGTGTAAATTAATTTTCTTTACAGATAAAAATGCAAAAAAAAAAGCTTGTGCTATCAAACCAGCAGGTGGAAACAATCTTAACAACACATTTAAATACGAAAGATTAGTCATAAACAATATCTCATTTTTAGGTTGACTTAGTTTAAAATAAGCTTTTACAACGATTATCATTTTTAGAACAACCAACAGCGAATAAAATCCAGGTTAGGACAAACTTTATCCCAAGTAACAATACAAGCAGTAAAAACGGTGCTAATAATCATAATGGATGTCTCTGTCACTAAGCATGCACAAAATGTGCTGCAGTCATAATGTTTCTTAGCTTTCTCGTTTACACTGTTAGCACAATCTATCAGAGGCTCTAAACTTTTAGTTTTTAGGTCTTTACTGCAGAAAGTGTTGATTAAAATGTAATTTCTTTGACGTGGATGTTACTTGAACATTTCTGTGTGCTGCTTACACTTTAGCTTCCTCCTTGGTTGCGTATGTAACATTCACCACTGCTGTTTCTGTGTCAGTGTTCACTGTCAGACAAGAAGAGATGGGATGGGGGGGGGGGGAGAATAAAACATGAGATACAGTAAACAAAGGTTTACACATGCAGGTCTTTGTTGTCGCCGTGTGTTAGTTGGATTTGCGTCCAGGTTCCCGTGGTGACCCCAAAATCCACTTGTCTGTGTGAATCCATTACAGCCATCACCACACTGGCTTCACTCCAGACCCTGCTGCTCCCTCAGCAGAGAGAAGCTGCTTAACACAATGGCCTTTCTGCCACTTGCACTAAAAAGGGATTTGTTTGACACAACAGCCGAAACAAAGCAAATAATCAGCCATTAAATGAAGTGAAGCGCACAACCGAGACACACCTTGGCCAGGTATGTGGTTCTGCACCGTGGTGTGAGCACAGAGCAGCGCTCAATATGTGCCTCCCGCTGGGATCATGTTTGCAGCAGGGAGGAGGTCTATTAAGAAGTCTATTACGCATCACTGGCAACGCAACACAAAACCTTGTCTGACTTGATAATTATATGCCACACTTTCTGCCGTACACGTCGCACCACCGTATAAGTTGTATCAGTCCAAATACATCTAATTAAGTGGAAAAAGACATAAATAAGTCAATTCACCGTATAAGCTGCATTTATTATGCGTCACTGCTGGCCACCTGGAAACTCGGGCCGGTGATGTGCCAAAAATCGATTGGCTGCCAAATGGCGGCCACGGGAGCGTTCACAGGAGGACTTTAACAAGAATTTAACAAGATTAACTCTAAAAACAATTATTTGTTTGGGTGGTATGACAAAATGCATCTAGTTTGACGTTTGCTCCAGGAGTTCTAGAGCGAGACTAAGGTGACTTGGTATGGCAAGCCAAGTGTCTCATTAATAGCCACTTTTACCTATTAATGAGACACTTGGCTTGCCATACATGGCCCTCTAATGGCTGCAAATGGTAATGGTTAATATTTTTCATGTCAGAATGAATGAAATTGTCAGATCTCAGCCAAAAATTGGGTTATAAATATGGGGGGGAAATGTATATTAGTCGCTTCGGTTTATAAGTCGCAAGACTTGCAAATTTATCCAAAAAGGTACGACTTATATGGCAAAAAATATGGTAATCCATTCGAATACTGGCTTGACCATTTAAGATTTTTTTAAAAAGGATGCACCTCAGTGAAGGAAATTGTTTAATCAATAGCAAATGCAATCTGATATGAGCTGTTTTTAAATAAAAGACAAGAAATGCAAACCTTGGACAGCTAAAATTTGTATTTCCAGTCTTGTTATACGTCCTTGTTTCTTTAAATAGTGCATCTTTTATTCCACTTCAAGTGTTTAGTTTTGCATTTTGCTTCTGTATAACGCTACGTTTGAGAAATATTGGGGGGAAAGTATTGGTCATCTGATCTCAATTAAAACTCATTTTTAATGCTGAATCTCTTTGAACCTCCTACATGGTGGTGACTTCACAGCACTCTAATTGTGAGGACATGTAGGGAAATAAAGCGGTTTATTGTCATCACAAAAGTGGCTAAATTAAAAGCTGTCATTGTTGAGTAAAACTGAAAACCAGCAAGTTTGAAAGGGCTAAATCCAGTAAGAGTGCCCTAGTTGGCATGGGATGGGGGACTGAACAAAGTCTAGCCCCGTGCCCCCCATCAGTACCCTTCATTAGGCCACACACGAACACAGTACTTTTCCAAAGCATGTCCTCATAACCAGAGAGCATGGACTGAAGCCAAGAGAAAAGAAGACAAGGGACAGCAAGGCAGGAAGCTGGGCAGAAACCGCATCTAGGACGGTCCACATTTACATTGAGGCGGCCATATTGGTCATTCATAGTAACTAGTGATGTTTGAGAAGCCCAGCTGAGCAGAGAGAGAAGAGGAGAAAATGCTGCGCTGGTTTGTGGTAGACAATGAAGCGAACTGTATTACGGCAGCGTCTGGGAAACTCTGAGTGGAGTAATTTCTCTGTTGGGTTCTCTTTTAGCACCTGTCATGACAACAGTGGGTGGTAGTTGGTCTTGGCTGTTTTAACACAGAGAGTGTGTGTGCATTTCTAGGTGTTTGTTTCTCCGCCTGCTTGTCTCCACTATTCATGTCTGTGCAACACACACACAATCAGGGAGCGCAGAACGTTCACCGCAGGCGTCTTCAGTATCATCGCCCGTAACCACAGCGCAGCATCCCAAAAGAGACGCAACGATCAAACACACACAGGAACATTATCACTGGATGCCTGCCACGTTGGCCCACTTCAATCCATACTCCGAGCCTAAGGAATTCTGGTGGTAGATCTGATCTAGAGGCTCCGTTTAATTCAAACGTCTCCGGGTCAAAGATATACACACAAAGACTGACGAGATGATGAAGACTGATTCATACACAGAGATGGGATACGTTTAGATAATGGATGTGTGAGATGAAGATTATGAGGAAGTGGTCACACAGGGAGACTTGACTCACTGGGGAGTCTGGGTGTTTGGCTCTGAAGCTAAAATGGCACATGTATTGAACAGTTGAAGCCAGAGGAAGATGAAATGGGTAGTATTCAAGAAGACAAGTTCAGTACCTTGTTCCACATTCTCTACAGTACCATACTCAGCTAGAAGGCCGTCCAAAACCTGAGGAAGAGACAAAACTTTGGGTTAGAAACACAAATGATGGACAGAAGAATGAAAAAGTTTAAAAGCATGCCCAGTTTGTTTGTTTTTTAAACATTGCTTCCAAGAAGTCCAACTTTCTTGTAATTTTTTACAGTGGTTTTGATTAACAGCTCTTTCAGAGGGTTTATCAAGGTTTGCTTTTTAGGTTTGCTTTCTTTTACTCCCATTTTCTATCCAGTTCTTGGCCATGACATCATACTGTGCATTAGGTGCTTAAAAACGCGCAAAGTGAACAAGTGGAGGACAGAAAAGAAGCATACGGCCTACAAAAAGAATATCTACAGCAGATGAACAGTAAAAGAATCAAACAAAACCCAGACACAGTACTAGAATTGAAAATTTCACTTTTTTTTTTTTAGATGATTGTTTTCAGTTAATAGCTTTAAAGGGGTTAACTTGTTGGTGCAAAACTAACATTTTATGTCTGTCAAATACAATATTTTGTATTTTAAAATAATTATTTAAAGGTAAATGGTAAGAAAGTGCGTATGTGGCATACTGCTAAAAACTAAGTATCTAAAGATCTATTTAAAACTGCTTTATGTCATAGACATAACATTGGTTCATTCGTTCACTCTAAGAGCCTCTGTGTCTGAATGATTCAAAGGCCAGAGTTAAGAAACAAAAATTATAAGAAAAACTGAAAATGTTCAGGTACTGAATTAGAAATAAGAGAAAAAATTTATGAGAAAGTAATTGAAAAGCCTTCAAAAAGACTTGTGTAAGAGAATGTCTGGCTCCTCGAAAGCAAAATATAAAGAAATGATTGACTCAAGACTTTTGCACAGGGCTGAATAATAGCAACACACAATAAAGCAGCTTTGCTGCAACAAGTGGGGCAACTTACTCTGTGTACACAATTTTGTTCCACTCCATGTACCAAGTGTGGTGCGTATGACAAATAAAGAACCGTGAACCCTGAACTTTCAAGTGACACAATGTAGCAAGTCAAAGTGTAAACTGGAACCAAATATAAATTCTAGCCGTAACTAAGGCAGCAGGTCAAAAACATCTGATTTTAAAAAAACTAAACTCAACCAAGGAGCCCAATGTGTTGTCATCTGTTGTAATGATCAGAATTTGCTCTTTAAAATATTTAATTACTTGAAGTGCAGGTATGTACAGGTACTTCTCTGATTAGAATGATTACAGCACTTGGTCAATTTTATCCCGGCAGTGGAAGTGCGCCAAAATAGTGTATTGCTCACACTAGGGCATGTTATGTTTATTCGAGTCAAATAAGACTAATGTTGTGTGTTTCTGGACCGTTGATGCAGCACACGCACTGTGTTAACAATGGCTTTGACATGCAGACAGTAAGGAGTGATCTACGTAGCACTTAGCAAGATGGTGACCATTAAACTCAGCACCATCAACGGCCATTCCTGAGTATCTCTATTTCAATGAAGTTCCACATGCACAAATGACTGTATGAAGCAAAGTTTAGAGCCACATCACCATTTAATATTTGGTGACTATTTAAAATAGCATATAGGCCTAAATTTGAACTTTGAGCTAGTTAAAAAAGAAAAAAATATCAAGGTAAGATCTTACGATCAGCAGCAATTACTGTATTTATGTCA